CGCAGGCGGTGGGATGGGAGCGTCCGCTGTCCTGTCGTCCTGTTGTCCCTGCCCGCCCGGTTCCTGAGCGTTTCCTCCCGGCAGCTGCTCATGGGCCGGGGCAGAGGCTGGGTCCGCACAGAGGCGCCTGCTGCTCCTCGGGCTCAGGCCTTCAGGCAGCGTCCCCCCAATTCCCAAACGCAAATGAGGGGCCACGAGGGCTGCCACGGGCCTGTGGGCACCCCCTTCCTCCTCTCCCACCCTGGCAGGGCCCAGGGTACGGCAGGACCCTCCCCATTGCCCTGGCCAGGAGGAGGGTGGAGGTGGGCAGTGTCTGGACACGGTGGACTGGCGGCTGGGGTGGAGGGATGCAGCGGGGGGAGGGGGCTGGTGCTTGCCTCCCATGTCCAGCACCCCGTCACGCAGCCTCCCTCCCTTCTTCTGGACCCACATAAGCACGTGTCTGTCTCTCTGGCTCCGGTTTGTCTGTCTGTGTCTTCAGTCCGTCTCTGCTGGGCCTCTGCTGTGTCCATCTCTTGCCGTCTCCTGTCTCCCTTGCTGTCTTCTCGCTTCTTTCCCCCCCTCCCCCATTCCCCCTCCCCCATTTCTCCCTCCCTCATTCCCCCCCTCTCCCATTCCCCCCTCCCCTCCCTGTCCCTTTCTTCTCCTCTCTCCCTCCCTCCATCCCTCTCTCCTCCTCTCTCCCATTCTCTCCACTCTCCCTCTCCTCTCTTCCTCCTCACACTCCTTCCTCTCTCGACTGAGATGCAGCTCAGGTTCTCAGAAGGGGTGCAGCAGGGGGGCTGGAGGTCTGCAGATGACTGGGCAGTGCCCGACAGGCCCCCACAGCGACCCCTGGGCCGATGCTGCCCCCTCCCTGCATTCCTGAGCGCCTGGCTTGGCCAGCTGGCCCCTCGTCGGGGGTCTGGAGCATGCTGTGTTCAGAGGGCAGGATCCCGTGGCCGTGTGCCACCCCCCCCCCCCCCGCCCCACAGACCTGGGTCCTCAGGGCATGGGGAAGGGAATTGCAACCTTTGCTCCCCTCCTCCTCCAACCAGGTGGCCCCATGACGGGCAGGCGGTGGTGGAGGCAGGAGGGGTGGTGGGTGGGGGAGGCAGTCTTGTTTTCCTGTGTGTGTGTGTGGGGGAGGCGGGCAGCAAGTCCGGGACTCTGATTTACATAAAGGAACCGGACTGGGGCCAGGGCCTGAGCGCATGGAGATGAAGCTCCTTGTCAGACCCAGCGCAGGAGGGAGAGATGATTTCCACCTGTACTGCGGCGTCGCCATAGCAACCAATTATTCAGCGCTAAATTATAACTGTTCATAACAGTCGTGAATGGGAAGGCTCATATCCGATTCTTTCTTTTTCCCTCTCGATCTTGAAGGACCCTGGACTGAGAATGACCAACTCTCCGGGCCTTCCTTTTGGGTTTAAACGCCTCGTTTTTCGGGGTGTGCTGTGTGCTGAGCGCTGGGCAGGGAGGGAAGGGAGAGAGAGGAGATGGGAGGCCTGGATCCAGAAACATCTGCAGAGCTGGGAGGAGGAAGGGACTGCTCACTCAGGGAACCTGGGGGGCACGCCCCATCCGCTGTGGGCCTGGGCTCAGGGCAGAGACCCCTCCTGCCTGCCCCCCGCTGCTGGCACCCACGCCCTGGGCATGGTGGCTAAGGCAGCTTTGCAGATGGATTCTGTGGGGGCTCCAAGTCTACTGAGGTTCTACGCCAAACGCACTCCCATCATCACGCCCACGGCTGCCACAGCCCAAAGGGTAGCCTCAAGGTCAAAGCCCCTGCTGACGCGGACTTTGAGAGCCTGTGGCTCAGGCTGAGGCTGTCAGGGCTTTAGTGCTCCCTACTGCTGCTTCTCCCCTGACCTTGCTTGACCTGCAGCTCCGCCTTCGTCAGTTTCAAGATTCAGAGCCCATCCGGGTTCTCCATCCTCCCTTCCCCTCGGGCCACCGTCTGAGGCCCCCCAGGTCCCGCCGATGGGACGCTGCCCCCCCTTCTCTGCCAGGACAGGGGTGGGAGAGAAAGGAGGCTCCGCGCTAGGAGTGTCCGCACCGCTGGGCGCAGCGACGTGGGCGGCAAACCAGGCTCCCAGGCCCTCCCCTGCCCCTCCCCCTCCGCCCGCCGGGGGCGGCCCGGAGGTGCAGCTTCGTTACCGAGGGAGCAGGCAGGGCACGGAGAGGGCGAGGGCATGGCAGGGGTGCGGGCGACGCAGAGGGGGCTGCCTTCCCCTCCCTGAGATGAGGTCCTGGCAGAGCTCCAGCTCCTCCCTCAGGAGGTCTGCCCTCCTGCTCTCCCAGGGAGCCCTGGGGTGGACGCTGGGCCAGCCCTCCTGGCAGTGCCTCGCTTGGGGCCTTCTGCCAGGCCTGCTGCCCCTCCCCCTCCCTCACTCTCCCATCCATTCCTTCTGCCCTCCCTCCCTCCCTCCCTCTTCCTCTCCCTCTGGGCTCTGCATTCGGAGCTGTGCTGGCCACTCCTTGCCTCTCCTGCGCTTGGGCTATGGCAGTGCCTGCTTCCCACCGATGCTCAGGGCCACGCCCCTCAGGTGTGGCCACCACAGCCCCTGTCCGCACCACGCCCCATATACGGTAGTTGTCTCGCTGCAGGTGACATCCTGATTTGCAGAAACCAGTACCCGAGGCGGGTGAGTCCTCCAGTGTGCCCCCCCATTATTGCCTTACAATGAGTGGCCCTCCAGTGTGCCCCCCATTATTGCCTTACAATGAGTGGCCCTCCAGTGTGCCGTCCTGGCTGCATCTTTGGCCTCCAAGCAGCGTAGGGGTTGTCGCTGGGACGCTCCCATTTCAGAATGTTCCAGGCCTTCTCTTACGTGGCGTTCTTTGCTCCCCTCGCCACCCGGTGGCATCCCATCCGCCGTGAGGAAGCTGAGGTCAGGTGCTGCAGCGACGTGCCGGTTCCCAGGCTAGCAGGGGTCAGCGCTCTGAGGCCACTCTGTTGTGTAGCCTCCCCAGGGAGCCCCGGGACCCACCATGGGTCCTCCCGTTTCATCCCTGGTTTGCACTGTGGGGTCTGTCCCGGGGCAGCCGAGGGCCAGGCCTGAGCCCCAACCTCTGCGGGCCCACAGACGCTGTCCGTGGTGCTGAAGTGTGTGGCATCCTCCCGCCCTTACCTTTGCTGGGGCGAGGACTGGGGTAGAGCCTGTCCCTCAGGTCTCTCCAAGGGTGATCTCTCTAAGCTGGCCGAGCGCTGCACCCTAGGGAGAAATGGGTGCCCCTGTCTGATCTCCACCTCCCCAAAGGACTGAGGCCCAGGCCCAGCTGGCGATTGTGGCCACCAGGCCTGGGCGGCTGTCCTGCCCGGGCGGGCTCCAGCGCAGGACCTGCAGTGGACCTGCACTGTCCCAGGGCCCAGCGTGGCCAGGCAGTATTCCGGAAGCACCAGGACACAGGAGAGGTGTGGAGGCCGCCAGCCCGCACACTGACTCTGTTCTCAGCGGGCACCGAAGGTTTGGGAGTGGGAGCGTGGAGCAGGGAGACTGAGCTGAGCGCCCAGGAGAGCGGGAAGTGTGGGAGCCTGTGGTGGCCCCTTTCCCAGCCGAATCTCAGGGAGAGCTCCCTCCTGGGAAAAGACTCTCAACTCCTTACAGTGTGGCCCCAACGGGCAGAGACCGGGCTGGGGGCCTCCCAGGATTCCCCAGATGACCCCACTCTCCTTGGCACCCTCCTCTCCTCCCTTCACCCTCCCCCTCCCTCCTCCCTCCCTCACCCTCCCCTCCTCACCTTCTCTTAGGCCTCTCCCCATCGGCGTTTGGAGCTCATTTCCCGCCTGGTTCTTCTCTGTCCCTCCCACGCCTCTTGCTCACCTTGACCACAGTAAACAGCCAGCAGGAGGGTGCCAGGTCCGAGCTGGTCCCCGAGCAGCAGCCCAGCCTCTCTCCTTGCAGGCCCGGCCGGGAGGGGCTGGGAGGGCTTTGCCGTCCACGTGCATCTGCCTGGGAAGGCTGAGTGAGCAGCTTGCTCAGAGGGCAGTGCCTTCCTGGGGGGGGGGGGGTGCTCTGGCTGTAAACACCGCATCTCCATAGGAATGGGCCATTTTAGGCCTCAGAGGGGGAAACTAAATCAAAGAAGCCACGCTGAGAGCTGCCTCAATTACCTTGTCTCATATTGGACGCAGCGGCCGGGGAGCAGGTGTGGGTGCGGGAAGCTGGGCTCCTGCACAGCAGCTTCTGGGGCCACAGGAGGCAAAGTTGTGTGTTCAATGTCAATCATGGGCTGCACCCACCACCACAGTCCCACAGGCTGCACCCCCCACACGCAGTCCCACGGGCTGCACCCGCCACACGCAGGCCCACGGTCTGCACCCACCACACGCAGGCCCACGGTCTGCACCCGCCACATGCAGGTCCACGGGCTGCACCCGCCACACGCAGTTCCACGGCTGTGCCCGTCACACGCAGGTCCACGGGCTGCACCCATCACACGCAGTTCCACGGCTGTGCCCGCCACACGCAGGTCCACGGGCTGCACCCTCCACACGCAGTTCCACGGCTGTGCCCGCCACACGCAGGTCCACGGGCTGCACTCACCACACACAGTTCCACGGGCTCCTGCGGCTTTCCTGGTGCACTTTGCTCTTTGGCTCCCACATCACGCCTCTGCTTTGAGTTCTTGGGTCCCGGCACCATCACACACGACTCGTTAAAATCCCAACGTCCTTAGATGCCGGTTCTGATTGGAGCGGAGCCCGACCTCAGCCCAGGCGGCCGGTGGAGCCGGCCCGGTGGGGAAGCCTGACCCGGCGCATCCTCCACGGCTCCGCCCCAGGGTGTGAGCCTGAGTGCGGCTTGGCAGCCCCTCTGGCTGGGCTCCAGGCTGAGCTGTGAGCGGCAGATGCCGAGCGATCCAGAAAGAGGGGCTGACTGTGCCCGGAGGCTGCTCTCGGGGCGGGCCTGCCGCCCAGGCTCCAGGCCGCCTCTGGGCCCCGTGGCCTCACGGTCCCCCTGGCCTTGCAGGGGAGCCACGATGAGCTGTCGGATAATGAAGAGGGCCTGGAAGAGAAGTCGGAGAGTGAGGGGAGCGACTACTCCCCTAACAAAAAGAAGAAGAAGAAACTCAAGGACAAGAAGGAGAAAAAAGCCAAACGAAAAAGGAAGGGTGACGATGAGGATGCCAACGACGAGGGATGCCTAAAGGTAACCTCTGAGGCCGGCGGGCGGACCCGGCTCCCACAGGCAGGCCTGCTCCGAGGGCGCCAGGGAGCCCCCGGGGGAGGGGGCGGGGGGACCTGGCTGACGGGTCTGTGTGTGCGCGCACTCCTATGGAGGATGGATTCCTGCCTGTGAGGAATGCCGCAGCCACAGGTCAGACACACATTTGAAGTCAGACGGGTGAGGTTTAGGGGTCTGGGAGGCGCCGTCCAGCCGTGAGGTCTTGTAGCGATCCTGCCCGATGCAGAGCGGAGCTCTCTCTGGGGAGAGGGATGGTTTGAGCTCAAGTGTCCTGTCGGGAGCCTCTCGCTTGGAGCCATTTGGGAAAATAAATCAGCAAATAGAGTCTTTGCCAGCAAGAAGCCGCTGGACAGCTCCGCTTAGAGTAAAAGGGGAACTTGTTAGGGAGCCCAGGTCTGGGATCCTGCCCCGGGCCCTGCAGGACTGAGCCAGTCCCGGAGCTGGAGGAGGGGCCTAGAGCCCCCCTGGGCCAAGCTCTGAGAAGTGTGGGAGCCTCTGAGGCCACACCCTGGGGCTCCTCGGGCGGGGAGGGGCTGAGGGTGAGGCCAGAGGACCTCAAGTCACCCGGGACCACCCAGGACCAGGCTTCCAGGCTCCGTTTGGGCTTAAAGAGAAGTGCTGTGTAAATATTAGTGCAGTGGCTGTTGGGTGAGGCAAAAATGGTGGCTGTCATTGCCTGACGTCAGGAAGCCCAGCCCCCAGGGGGCGGCACGCGTGGGCAGGTGGGCAGGTGGGCAGGTGGGCGGTGAGTCGTCTGTGACATAATAGCTGAGGGGCTGACGGCTGCGGATGGGGAGCTCATGGGAGCGACTTGGGTTATCCCGTAACTGTCGTCGGCTCGCTTTGTGTCCCGGTGGGAACCAAGGGCTGTGTGCCTCCGGGAAGGGCTGTGTGGGTGGGGGGTGTGGGTGGGGGGTCAGGTTGGGCGTGGGAGGGGGGTCCACTGTGAAGTGTCACAGAGAACAGGGGGCTGGGAAGCTCTGGGCATGGAGGAGAATGGGGGCAGTGACAGCTCAGGGCTTCTTGGCCACTGGCTGCCCCAGCCAGCCAAGGGTGGCCTGATTGACTTGGCGCCTGGGGTGGCAGTCCCATGAGCTTGCTGTGTGCCCTTGGGAAGCCACACCCCTGCCTGGGCCTCAGTGCCACCTGGAAAGTGAGCGGTACCGGAGGGTCCCTCTGGAGCTGTCCTGGCCCCCACCCTGGCCCGGACAAACCTTGCTGGCTCTGGAACCGGCAGCGGCCTGTCCCTTTGTGGGGTCCATGCATGACTTTAGGGGGGACATCCTGGGGTGGCCTCATTTCTCCCAACATGCCTTAGGCAGCCCCAAGCCGGCTGCCTCCCCAGGCCGGCTGCCTCCCAACACCCATCTTCAGGCCCAGACGCCCGAATAGATTTCTCCAGAGAGTGGGCCCCATTACCCCTGCCCTGGGCACACACACGGTCTCACCCCAAGCCCCACGTCAACCCCCAGGCGCTTCGCCCTGCACCCCCTCATGAACTGTTGTCTGAGCCGGACCCGATCCAGGGCTTGGGGCTGGAAGTTTTAGGGTGTTCAGTGCTGACTGAGAACTGCTCCTGTTGGTGCAGGCACGGCCCTCCCCTCCCACCTGCCCCGAGGCCTCCTGGGTGGGGCCCTGGGATGGGGGTGCGGGTTAGAAGGACCGGCCTCTGATTCCATCTCCGGCCCCGTGTCCGCAGGAGCCCAAGTCCTCAGGGCAGCTCATGGCCGAGTGGGGCCTGGACGACGTGGACTATCTGTTCTCGGAGGCCGACTACCACACGCTGACCAACTACAAGGCCTTCAGCCAGTTCCTCAGGTCTGGTGGGGCGGGGCGGCAGGGCGGCGGGGGTGGGGTGGGGGGGAGGGGCGGCAGCCATGGTGGCAGAGCCCGGCTCCTGGGGGGTGGCTGTCAGGCCGACACCGACCTGGGCAGAGCTGGAGGGGCCCCTTCCATTTTGGCAGGTAGCCCTGCCTCCCTCGCTTGCCCAGTCAGTCCCGGGGGCTTGTGCCCTCCTGCCCCCTCTCCAGCCTCAGGCCTCGCGAGTTCTAGAAACCCATTTCACGAGGAGATTGCTAACTGCATAAACAGGGACGCGAGCATTTCGGGGGGCACTGCTGCCTCAAGCTTTGTCTTCTTCCTGCCCCCCTTTCTGCCCCGTTTCCCAACCGGGAGCCTGGGGCTGGGGCTGCCTGTCCCAGGTGTGGGATGTGGGGGCCCTGCTGGGGTCACGTGGGGGGCCACCCCTCCATGGCCCTGCTCTCACCTTCCTGCCTCTGCCCCCACACAGGCCTCTCATTGCCAAGAAGAACCCAAAGATCCCCATGTCCAAAATGATGACCGTCCTGGGTGCCAAGTGGCGGGAGTTCAGTGCCAACAACCCTTTCAAGGGCAGCTCGGCGGCGGCGGCCGCGGCGGCCGTGGCTGCGGCCGTGGAGACGGTCACCATCGCCCCTCCGCTGGCTGTCAGCCCCCAGCAGGCGCCCCAGCCTGTGCCCATCCGCAAGGCCAAGACCAAAGAGGGCAAGGGTAAGGCTGCGGGGGGTGGGCACCCAGCCTGCTGGCAGGAGCCCTTCCAGGCCTGTCTGTCAAGGACCCAGTGCCTTGGTTGACCTGGACCCACATGGCCCTTCTCGGCTGTACTGCAGGGGCACTGGAGCTCCCTTAGGGGCTGGGGAGAAGCGGGGGGCGGTGCTCAGCTTGGGGAGTTTTGCCCTGGCCCCTCCGACTTGGGCGTCAGGAAGGGCTGGGGAGGCCCAGGCTGCTGAGAGTCAGGGGGTCTCACGCGTGAGGCGGTGCCATTCCCAGGGAGAAGGGACCCAAGGTGAGCCCGTGACCCTCTTGCCCGAGCACCGGTGTGGTCAGGGCCGGCTTCCGGGGAGCCCTGGAAGGAGGTCCAGATACAAGTTGGCCTCAGTGGGGTGTCCGGTGGGTTACCAGGGACAGCAGAGGCTCTCTGTGACTTGACTTCCCCAGGGGCCTGCCTGGCTAGGGGTGCCTGGCCCGTGGCAGGTGGGCGCGCTGATCTCCCAGGGCTCCCAGCGTGGGGCCACGGCAGCTCAGCCTTTGGGTGCCCTGACTGGGCTCTGAGGGGGAACTCAGGGGGCTCGGGGACTCCTTGTTTCAGCCCCAAGGAGCTTTGCCTTCTGGGACGATGTGGCCCTTGGCCAGGTCCCTGCAGGGCCCGGTGGGCAGTGACATGGGTCCCAGCCGGCTCCTGCTTGCCCCTCGCTGGCCTCTGGCCTGCACACGGCCCTGCTTTCTCATTTCCTCTCGGGCTCCCGCGCTGAGCTATTGATTCCCTGGGCCGCGTATTCAGAGCCTGAGAAATTGAAATAGATTTTCCTCGGCGGCGCTGAGGTCGCTGCCGGGCCCCCAGCCCCATCTCCCTGCACGTGATGCGGCTGGAGGTCTCTGCGCCCAGGCCCATCTCCCCTGGTCAGCCCTGGGGGAGGGGCGCTCGGGCCCTCACTCCCCAGGTGGCTGATGGCTCTGTGGCCAACCCCACAAAACCCTCCACACTGCTGGCCCCCAGGAGCCAGCATTTGGGGGGATGGCAGAGGTCAGGGTGGTCTTGAGGTGCCAGCGTCGCCCAGGCGTGGGGATAACCGAGGCTGGCAGCTTCCTGCCCCAGAACAGCCTTCCAGGGCCCAGGGGTGGCCCAGAGGTGGGGGCCTCGGGGGTCCTGCTGGCCGTGGCTCCACTGGGGACAGGACAGGGCTCTTCCCGAGATGGCGGGGTTTCTGCTGTCCGAGAAGAGGGGCGTCCTGGTGCCCGGGGCAGAGCCTGGGCCGGGTTATTCTCTGGCACCACCCCCCCCCGCCATGCTGTGCAACTGCAGGCAGGGCATGACCTCTCTGAGCCCCAGTCTGCTCACGTGGAAAGGCCCACCACACACACGACCCTCTCCTGTCGCGTCGCCGTGCGGGCGGAGTGAACCGCGCTTCCTCCTCGTGACTCCGCAGGGCCGGGCGTGCGGAAGAAGGTCAAAGGCTCCAAGGACGCCAAGAGGAAGGGCAAGGGCAAGAAGGCGGCGGGGCTCAAGTTCCGCTTCGGAGGGCTGGGCGGCAAGAGGAAGAAAGGTTCCTCGGTGAGCGTGGCCGTGTGTGGGGTGTGAGCGAGCGTGTGTGTGTGTGTGTGTGTGTGTGAGCGAGCATGTGTGTATGAGGGTGTGTGTGAGGGTGTGAACATGTGTGTGAGCGTGTGTGTGAGCGAGCATGCGTGTATGAGGGTGTGTGTGAGGGTGTGAACATGTGTGTGAGCGTGTGTGTGAGCGAGCATGCGTGTATGAGGGTGTGTGTGAGGGTGTGAACATGTGTGTGAGCGTGTGTGTGAGCGAGCATGCGTGTATGAGGGTGTGTGTGAGGGTGTGAAAATGTGTGTGAGCGTGTGTGTGAGCGAGCATGCGTGTATGAGGGTGTGTGTGAGGGTGTGAACATGTGTGTGAGCGAGCATGCGTGTATGAGGGTGTGTGAGCGAGCATGCGTGTATGAGGGTGTGTGTGAGAGTGAGTGAATGAGTGTGTGTGAGCGTGTGTGTGTGTGAGCAAGCATGTGTGTGTGAGGGTGTGAGAGACCCGGTGGACGGGAAGGTGTCCGTGTGAGTGAGACAGCAAGCCCACGTGCACTCAGGGGTGTCTGTGGTGTGTGCATGTGAGCACCCTGAGGTGCATTGGCGTGTGCGTGCCAAGGTTGGGGTGCTGTGGAAAGCAGGGCTGGGCGGTGGGTTCGTGCTCCTGAAGCGGCCTGGGGGCAGGTCCTCCTCTCTCCCACTCTCCTCCCCTCTACCCACAGGCCTGCTGGGCCTCAGTTCCCCAACCTGCTGGTGAGGGGCTCAGACTAGATCCTTCCCCAGGCCTGCAGCTTGGACTGGGCGTGGGGCCCACCCGCTGAACTGGGGCTCAGTCCTGGCTCTCGCTGCCCTCGGCTGCCACCCCATCTGGGCAGCAGGGGGGAGGGTCGGCTGGCCCCTGAGAGTCCTGGTGGGGCCTGGTGCCCAAGTCTGCGAGGCTGGACCCCAGGAAGGTGGCCTGGAGGCAGGGCCAGGCTGGCTCCCGTGTCCTTCCGGGGCCAGCTCTGCACCAGGTCAGACTGACCCCGAGGGAACCCACCGGGAGCACTTGGTCACTTCTCTGCCCTCCCTTCACCCCCCTCCTGCACGGGCACTTGTTTCCCTCGCCTCGCCCCAGCCCTGCGGAGGCGCAGACATGGAAGGCATTTCTCTGTCCCTGGGCAAGGCAGCGGACAGGGCTTGGGTTGAGCTGCTCTGGAGGGAGCGTGAGCGGCAGGCGTGGCCCCGCGCGGAGCTGGGCAGCCGCTCGGCTCAGCAGATACTGGTGAGCACGTGCTGACGTGCTGGTCTCTGCTGAGCCGCGTGGCCCTGCTCCAGAGGCTCCGTCTGGAAGGGGTTTGGGCCTCACACTGGGAGACAGCCAGCGACAGGCAGATGGCATGGGCCAGGCCTGGCACACAGGCAGTGCAACAGGTTCAGTTAAGGGGAGGCCTGGGGGAGGTGTCCTAGAGGGACCTGTAGGAGTTGGCAAGGCGGAGGGCATGGCCTGGGGAAGGCACTGAGCTCTCTGTGGGCTCAGAGCACGGCTTCGGGGGCGGGTAGGGCATTGGGCCCGGCCCCTGGGTTTCCAGCTGGAGGCAGAGACTAGATGAACCACACAGAACCCTGTGCCCCCAGAGCCGCCATGGTGCCCTGCCCCACGCCCCTCTGCCCAGGCCAGGGAGGCCCTCGGGATGAGCCCCCAGGCAGGTCGGGCTCACAGGGTCCTCGCCCCTGCAGAGCGAGGAGGATGAGCGGGAGGAGTCGGACTTGGACAGCGCCAGCATCCACAGCTCCTCCGTGCGCTCTGAGTGCTCGGCAGCCCTGGGGAAGAAGAGCAGGAGGAGGCGCAAGAGGAGGAGGAGTAGGCCTTTCCGTCGGCGGGTCCCTGGCGCCTGTGGATGTGGGGTGCAGAGGTCCCTCGGGGAAGCCGGGGAGGTGCCCTCATGCACAGCCTCCTCCGGCCTCAGCTAGGCAGTTCCCCTGTGCTCCCTCAGCCACCCTGGGGCCCTCGGTCAGGAGAGGGGGCCTGTCCCAGTGAGGCAGGGCGGGGGGTAGGAGGAGGGCCAGGGCATTTGCACTAGCAGAGAGGGCACTGGAGAAGTGCCATCCATCAGCCATCACCCACCATTCAGTCATCCGCTCCTCTACCCACCTATCCCCTCACCCCCTTCCCCTGCCTGTCCCACCTGTCATCCCTCCTTCCCTCCCTCCCTCCTCCTCCCCTTCCTTCCTTTCCTTCTATCCACCTCCTCTCCATCTCTACCCCTTTATTTCCTCAACCATCACCCCCAACTTTCATTCACCCTGTCTGTCCACCCACCACCCATTCCTCCAACATCTATTAAGCACCCATGTGCTGGGGCGGCCTCAGGGGGAGACTGGTGGGGCCTTGGGAAGGGGGACGCAGCCCGCATGGCCGCCTCTGCCCCTTCGCAGTCGACGATGGTGACGGCTACGAGACAGACCACCAGGACTACTGCGAGGTGTGCCAGCAGGGCGGCGAGATCATCCTGTGCGACACCTGCCCGCGGGCCTACCACCTGGTCTGCCTGGACCCCGAGCTGGAGAAGGCCCCCGAGGGCAAGTGGAGCTGTCCGCACTGTGTAAGCAGCCCCGCGGGTCGGTCCGTGCCTGGCACCCAGACCCTGCGCTGGTCATCGGGGGACAGAACGTGGGGGTGCCGAGTGGGAGGGGGGGTCCCACGCAGGTGGAGGTTGTCTGGGCCCAGGGCGCCTCCACCTGTACTTGTCCCCCCAGGAGAAGGAGGGGATCCAGTGGGAGCCGAAGGACGACGACGATGACGAGGAGGGCGGCGAGGAGGAGGACGACCACATGGAGTTCTGTCGAGTGTGCAAGGACGGCGGCGAGCTGCTCTGCTGCGACGCCTGCCCCTCCTCCTACCACCTGCACTGCCTCAACCCGCCGCTGCCCGAGATCCCAAACGGTGAATGGCTCTGCCCGCGCTGTACTGTGAGTGTTAACGCCCGCCCCGCGCGAACGCCCCGCCCCGCCGGCCAGGCCCCGCCCACCGCGCCCGGCCTTGCCGTCGCCCGCAAGACCCTGCGCTTAGAGGCCGGCGCAGGCCACGCCCCATAAAAAGCCACGCCCACACCGGACCAAGCCACGCCCCGAGCAGCACCACTCCACCCGCTGAGGCCCCACCCCACGACGTTCCAAGCCTCACCCACCAAGGCCCCGTCCTTCTAGCTCCGCCCCCAAGGCCTCTAGGTTAAGCCGAGCCCCGCCCACCGCCCGGAGTCCTGCCCCCCGCTCCGCCCAGAGCCGGTCTGCGGCTCAATGCCCTTCAGACTCAGCTGCAGTTTTCTCACCGGAGCCTGCAAACAGCCCTTATGAAAAGAGCCAGGTGGTGGCGATAATCCCAGCCTCCCACCACAGCCAACGTAGTGGGCATCCCTTTAAGGCTGACGGCGTTTCCCAGTGCGGGGCCTTTTGTTTCAACCAGTGAGCCACGCCAGCTGGGCCGATCCCCATTTTTAGATGAGCAAACGGGGCTCAGGGAGGTGAAGTGACTTGCCTAAGGCCACACAGCCACCGAACTGTCCACTCAGACCCACCCGGGGCCTGGCTCCTGTCCCAGAGCTGGGGTGTGAAAGGGTAGGAGGCCCCTGGGGCTGGCGCCTCAGTTTCTGAGGACACTCCTCACCGGTGCCCCCCAGTCACCAAATGCCACCTGCTCTGAGCTGTCCCCCGGGCCACCCCTGGGTCCTGGGCGGTGCTGTGGCCAGCCCTCCCATGTGCACCTGGGCTCCTGTTTGTCCTTGTGTGGGATGCATGCAGACCCACATGGCCCCTCTGTGCACAGCACACGTGGGCCCCTGAGGACAGGTCTGTGCTGTGGGGTCACGGGGGTACTTCCTGACTCGGGGAGCAGTGCAGCTCCCCCTGCCTGCTGTCACAGGAGCCTCCGGGCGGGGCCCTGCAGCTAAGCCCTGACCTGGGCGACCTTCCTCTCTCCACAGTGTCCGCCACTGAAGGGCAAAGTTCAGCGGATCCTACACTGGAGGTGGACGGAGCCCCCCACCCCCTTCATGGGGGGGCTGTCAGGGCCCGACATGGAGCCCAGCGTCCCCCCACCCAAGCCTCTGGAGGGCCTCCCGGAGAGGGAGTTCTTTGTCAAGTGGGCCGGGCTCTCCTACTGGCACTGCTCCTGGGTGAAGGAGCTGCAGGTGAGCCACGTGGGCAGGTGGGTCAGGCTCAGCTTCCTGTGCTGGGGAGGGCGAGGCTGAGGGCTGGGGCGCTGGCTCAGGGGGACAAGGGGGCCACAGCCCGCCTCGCTGGTAACCCCTGCCCCTCGGGAGCAGCTGGAGCTGTACCACACGGTGATGTGCCGCAACTACCAAAGAAAGAACGACATGGACGAGCCCCCGCCCTTCGACTACGGCTCTGGCGACGAGGACGGCAAGAGCGAGAAGAGGAAGAGCAAGGACCCGCTCCACGCCAAGATGGAGGAGCGCTTCTACCGCTACGGCATCAAGCCCGAGTGGATGATGATCCACCGCATCCTGAACCACAGGTGCGTGCGGGCGGGTGCGGCCGAGCCTCGCGGAGGTGGGCGCCCCCGGCGGGCCATGCCGCCCCTCGGCTCTGAAGACTGAGCTCAGGGCCCGGAGGTGTGCAGGGGGGCAGGAGGAAGAGGCCGCGGCCCCGCCGTCGGGGATCTGACTGGCCAGCGGAGGGGTTGTCACGTGCACACGGGCACACGTCACACTTGCGGTGGGAGAACAGTTCCCAAGTCAGACATACAAAGGGGAGACGTGACCCGAAGGAGCAGCCTGTGACACGGGCACCCAGCGGGCTCCTGCTGCTGGCCTGGTCCGCAGGCCCCTGTGTCCCGGGGTCTCCAGAAGAGGGCGCTGCGCCTGCAGGAATCAAGTCCTTATGGGCACCGCTCTTCCACTTTAAGTTAGAAAAGAAATGCCTCTGGTCAGTGGGGAGAACGGTCGCACTCAGAGCCTCAGGTTTCTGTGTCCAGACCCGTGACCGCTGCGATTCTCGCTGCACCAGCCGATGGAGAGGACGCTGCTATGGCGGCCTCTCTGCCCCTCCCTCCTTCCCTCCCTCTCACTGGCCTGGTGGTTGGGGAAGGGGGTGTCCTGGGCCCCGGCCGCTGCAGTGCCCCGCCCTCCACCGTCTGTCCACTGTGTCGCAGCTTCGACAAGAAGGGGGACGTGCACTACCTGATCAAGTGGAAGGACCTGTCCTACGACCAGTGCACCTGGGAGATCGATGACATTGACATCCCCTGCTACGACAGCTTGAAGCAAGCCTACTGGGGCCACAGGTGGGCCGCCGGCCGGGCCCCGCCCCGGGCTCCCGCTCCTGCGGCCTGAGCTTCGCTCACCGGCACCCCGCCCTCTTCCCAGGGAGCTGATGCTGGGGGAGGACGCCCGGCTGCCCAAGAGGCTGGTCAAGAAGGGCAAGAAGCTGAAGGACGACAAGCAGGAGAGGCCGCCAGACACGCCCATCGTGGATGTGAGCGGGGGCGGCAGCAGGGGGGTCGCCAGGGCCTCGCCCACGCAGTAGGGGAATGCCACGGCCTGCGGTTCAGACCACTCACGCCAGGCATCCCCCGGGGAGAGCTCACATCCTGTGTCCTAGGGCCCCACCTCACGCAGAGGGGCAGCTGTGGGGGGACTGGGGCCTTGGCTTCCTGTGCAAGTTGCAGTGTGGGTTCTCTGTGCACAAACTGGGGGCCAGTGGCTCCACTTAGCTCATGGGCTTCCATTACTTTAGATGGGCTAATTGCAAGCGTTTAAATAAAAAAGCGCGTCTAACTTCAGGGGCGTCACAGCCGATTACACACCAGTCTCACCTGTTCACGGGGAGAACCCCCCTTCCCTGGGGGATTGTGCTCACCAGGAAGGGGGTGGTGGTCTTGTGTTCATTTGGCAAACCTCTCTGGAGTGTCTGCCAGCACCTAGCCCTGGGGGGGACAGGGCCCTGACCTGTTTCAAGAACTGCCCACCCCCCATGGGCCACTGGCGTGTACACCTGGGACTGGGGTGCCAGGGAAGGTGACGGGGGCTGGCACATCAGGAGGACCCCATGGGGAGGAGGCCTTGAACTGCAGGGTAAAGGAAGCCGGGAGGGTAGAGTCTGGATCCTGAAGAGTCTGGGCGTGCATCAAGCAGGACTGAACGCCCACCGTGTCCCAGGCACCGTATGGGGCTGGGAGGACGCAGTATTGAGCAGGACCAATGTAGTGGCCACACCGGTGCTCAGGGTCAGATAACCTAACAGTGGGGAGACTGAACCGAGGGGAGGTAGGGGCGGCCACGGTGGGATACAGGTGGGAGTGAGAGAGGGCTCCCGGAGGAGGAGGCTTTTTGGCTGAGACCTGAGGGAGGACGGAGTTAGCAGCAGTGAGAGGAGTGGGAATGTGTGCCAATGGGAGGGGGGGCTCTGGTGGCCCAGGATGCAGGGTGTCTGACCCTCTGCCTCCCCACAGCCCACGGTCAAGTTCGACAAGCAGCCGTGGTACATCGACTCCACGGGGGGCACGCTGCACCCATACCAGCTGGAGGGCCTCAACTGGCTGCGCTTCTCCTGGGCCCAGGGCACCGACACCATCCTGGCCGATGAGATGGGTCTGGGCAAGACGGTGCAGACCATCGTCTTCCTCTACTCCCTGTACAAGGAGGTGGGGCCGCGGGGGCTGTGGGTGGGGGTGGGGTGGGGGAAGGTGGCGCCCGCTGAGGGCCGGCAGCCTCACTGCGCTGTCTCTGCAGGGCCACTCCAAGGGCCCGTACCTGGTCAGTGCGCCCCTGTCCACCATCATCAACTGGGAACGCGAATTCGAGATGTGGGCCCCCGACTTCTATGTGGTCACCTACACGGGGGACAAGGAGAGCCGCTCCGTCATCCGGGAGAACGAGTTCTCCTTTGAGGACAATGCTATTCGGAGTGGGAAGAAGGTGTTCCGCATGAAGGTGAGCGCCCCGCGTCCCTGGGAGGCCGCTGTCTGCCTTGAGGCCACAGGGCTCTGCGGTCCGTCAGGGTCCCTCCACTCAGGGTCTCCGCACATGGAGGCTTCTCTCTAGGCAGAGTTACCGCTGGACCGTGTCCTGGGGGGGGGCAGAGGGGGGCGGGTAACAGAGCAGGAACTCGGTCTCCCCAGTGTGTCGGCTGGACACGCCCTCCCCACTGGGAGACCCTCTCGGGCGGACCCTCCCTGCCTCATCCAGCTTCGGGGCTGCAGGCGGTCTCTGGCCCGCAGATGCCTCACTGCAGTCGCCGCCCTGACTCTCACATGCTGTCCCCTTTGCGTCTGTGTCTCATAAAGGCACATTCATTGGATTTAGGGCCCAACCTACTCCTCTTTTTTACTTTTTTAAGGCGGCGACTAATTCTTTTTTAAAAATGTTTTTATTGCTTTTTAAAGAGAGGAAGGGAGAGGAATAGAGAGGTAGAAAAACTGATGGGAAACATTGTCGATTGGCTGCCTCCTGCACACCCCCTACTGGGGTTGGAGCCCGCAACCCGGGCATGTACCTTGAGTGGGAACTGAACTGTGACCTCCTGGTTCATAGGTCGATGCTCAATCACTGACCAACACTGGCCGGGTTGTGGTCTTGACCTCACCTTAACTAATTACACCTGCAAAGGCCCTAGCTCCAAAAAAAGGGCCCCATTCTGAGGTTCTGAGTGAATTTTGCGGTGACATGACTCACCCCTGTGTGACCTCTGGCAAGTCACCTTGCCTGGGCGTCGTCTCAGTGAACTGGAGGTGACAGTAGAGGGCGGTGGAGGGCGGGCGAGTGAGCAAGCACTGGGCAGGGGTCACCAGGTCTGGGCCAGCAGCTCTGGGGCGGGGCCTGAGCTGCATTTCTGACTGGGTCCCGGGTGCTGCAGATGCCGTGGTCCCTGGACCACACTTTGAGAAGCGCCACGGACAGCGCCTGGCCCAGGCAGGTCCCGTGTCCTTCATGCTCACACGAGCTGCAGTGCTGGGGGGGGGGGGGGCTGGGCAGGGAAGGGAGCAGGGGGCTGAGACCTGTCTGGGGCTCTAGGACCTCGCGTGAGCAGCTTGGGCTCCATCGTCCCACTGGCCTTGTCGTAGGAAACAAATTCAGCAATAAAGTTATTAAGAATTTTAAATCGGCAGCTGCACTGCATTGAGCCCCACGTGCTGGGTCCCCTTCACCGTCCTGGCTCTGCCTTTTGTTGGCCACGGGGAACGCTGTCCATCCTGGGACCCCAGAGCTGCAAATGGGACGGTGACAACGCGGCTGATGGCGTGTGGGGACGAGACGAGGCCAGTGAGGACCAGGCCCCCCACGCGGCCGGTTCTGAAGGGTGACTGAGCTGGTTCCGTTCTCAGCACCGGGTCTCGGTGCGGTTGGTGCTCTGGGCCTCGGCCTGGTGGCCGGGTCTTCCGCTCGGTCCCGGGCCCCCCTGGGGGCTCCGGCTCCCCCTCCTCACCTCTGTCTCTGGGGACCTTGTCTCGTTTGCGCCCAAATGCTGCTCTTCCCTCCAGAAAGAAGTGCAGATCAAGTTCCACGTCCTGCTCACCTCCTACGAGCTCATCACCATCGACCAGGCCATCCTGGGCTCCATCGAGTGGGCCTGCCTCGTGGTGGACGAGGCCCACCGGCTCAAGAACAACCAGTCCAAGGTAGCGGCGCCGACCCCCCGCCCCGCCGCCCGCCACACTGGCCAGGCCGCCGCGCCCCTGACCCCCTCTCCCCTCAGTTCTTCAGGGTCCTGAACAGCTACAAGATTGACTACAAGCTGCTGCTGACGGGGACCCCCCTGCAGAACAACCTGGAGGAGCTGTTCCACCTGCTCAACTTCCTGACTCCAGAGCGGTTCAAGTGAGGGGCGGGCGGGGCAGTGGGTGGGGCGGGGGCGGGGCAGGGCAGGGTGGACGGGGCAGCGGGTGGGCGGGGCAGTGGGCGGAGCGGGGCGGGGCAGCGGGAAGAAGTGTCCGTGTCCTGCTCCAGGCCACTCACTGGGCTGGGGTCTCTCATCACTAAATGGGAGCGTTAGCGGTGCCCACCTCAAATGACCTGCGTGGAGGGGCCACCGGCCGAGCACTTGGGAAAAATCCTGTTTTTCCTCGAATCTTCCCCAGATGGCCCCCGAGTCCTCTAGGGGTCCTGTCCCTGCCCCCACACCCCAGGCTCATTGCTTTCCCTCCACAAAGACCAGAAGTGACCACACGGGTGACAGAGAGGGGAGGGAGGAGGCCGGGGTGGTGATGGAGAGGAGGAGGAAGGCTGAGTGCCGGTCAGTGGAACCTCCTTCCCCGCCTCCTTGTGTTCACCTGGCCCCCATTTTCTTGCCCAGACTGGGGGCTCAGGGTGGAGGAGGGCATCCTGTGTGGTGAGAGCTGTGATGTGCAGGTGACACAGGCATAGGCGGACGCTGAAAGGACCCTTGGGCAGGGCCCGGGCTACCCGGCCCACCTGGCCCACCAGCCAGCCGGCCTCCCTGTGACCCTCTGGCAGGTGGCCGGGCCTGGCTGGCCCACTCCCTCCCCCAATCCTGACTCCCTCTGCAGAGGGGCTTTGGCCTGCTCTGGTCCCTGCTTCTGGCTCTCATCCCAGCTCTTTGTTGCAGCAACCTGGAGGGCTTCCTGGAGGAGTTTGCAGACATCTCCAAAGAAGACCAGATCAAGAAGCTGCACGACCTGCTGGGGCCGCACATGCTGAGGCGGCTCAAGGCTGACGTGTTCAAGAACATGCCGGCCAAGACCGAGCTGATCGTCCGCGTGGAGCTGAGTCAGATGCAGAAGTGAGTGGGGGCTCGGCCTGCGGGGGGCCTGCCCTGGAGCCCCCCCTCATTTCCTGGGCCCAACTGGCCTTCCTGGGCCGCTTCCCGGGTGGCTGGCCTGGATTCACCTCCCACACTCTTCCATCTGAGGCTGCTTCTTTGATTTCAGCGACCAGGGTCTGGGGCTGCCTGAGTTCTGTGTCCCCCAGCAGCTTGCTGGGTGACTCTAGGCCTGTGGCTTCACCTCTCGGGGCTCCCCTTGCCTCTGTAAGTGGGTGCTTGGCCCCCAGCCCCCAGACCCCCGCAGAGAGCCCTCTGGGAGGCTGGCGTGGCCGGTGTCAGCCCGCCTCTCCTCCGTGCCGCGCTCTGCTGCAGGAAGTACTACAAGTTCATCCTCACGCGGAACTTCGAGGCGCTGAACTCCAAGGGGGGCGGGAACCAGGTGTCGCTGCTCAACATCATGATGGACCTGAAGAAGTGTTGCAACCATCCCTACCTCTTCCCTGTGGCTGCTGTGGTAGGTGCCCGTGGCCGCTGTGGCAGGTGCCAGTGGCTGCTGTGGTAGGTGCCCGTGGCTGCCGTGGTAGTTGCCTGTGGCCGCCGTGGTAGGTGCCTGTGGCTGCTGTGGGAGGCACCCGTGGCTGCTGTGGGAGGAGCCTGTGGCTGCTGTGGGAGGTGTCCGTGGCTGCTGTGGGAGGAGCCCGTGGCTGCCGTTGTGTTTCTTGACCTTGAGGACCTAGAGGTGATACAGGTTCTCATTGTGCCAGAAGTTTCTGAAAACCTGCTTCCGTCTGCTGCTTGGGCAGGCCCTCTCCTTCCCTGGGCCCCTCCTGTGACCCATCAAGCCGTGGGGAGCATTGGGTCCCCCCAAGGTTCCCCAGGCCATGGTTCTGAGGGCTGACCTGGCTGTACTCAGTCACCAAGGGTGTTGGGAAGGCCGGGGAGGGGCCCCCGCTGACTCTGATGTGCAACCCTGCGGCGCAGACGGGGCCCTGGCTCCAGCCCTGGGGTCTCCGCAGTGACTGGTCCTCCAGGAGCCTCAGCTTTTCCGCTATAAAATGGGACAAAGCAGCATCTCCCTGAAGGCGAGGACCAGACGAGACGGTGCCATAACGTGCCCTCACGGAGAGCCTGGCACGTCCGTTCTCAGAGCATTAGCCTTTGTCACGCCTGGTGCTGCTGTTCTGGTTCGACTTTAAACCCTTGCTGGTTCCCCCGCCCCCAAGGAAGAGGCCAGCGCAGAGCTGGGGTGCAGGCCGTGCTGTGGGTGACCCCAGGCTGCTCTCACCACTCTGGCCTGGCAGAGGCCTTCTGACTGACGTTCCGCCCGCTGGGGCTCAGGGCTGGCCTTGCTGGCATCCGCCCTACAGACCCCGGTGCCCAGGCCACTCCTGCAGGTCCTGGAGGGGTGTCAACAGCAGGGAGTCGGAGGGCGGGCCGGCAGGTCGGAGCCCTGCCTGGGCCGTGGTGCCGGGCACAAGGGACCCAGGCGCACCCGCTCCTGCTGAGCCCGGCCTGACCCAGGCTTGGGCTCGGCGCTCAGCCCATGGCCAGGCCCTTTGGTGCCGAGCCAGAGGGGAGGGGGCGCCCCAGGCCCACCTTCCGCTGCGTCCGCAGGAGGCCCCCGTCCTGCCCAACGGCTCCTACGACGGCAGCTCCCTGGTCAAGTCCTCGGGGAAGCTCATGCTGCTGCAGAAGATGCTCCGGAAGCTGCGGGATGAAGGGCACCGCGTGCTCATCTTCTCCCAGGTGAGCGCCCAGGTGTCTGCCTGGCGCCCCGCACCCCCCTGGCATCCGCCCCGCACCCCCCTGGCACCCCCCCCCCCCCAGGGCACAACCTGCTGGCAGCCCATCAGGGTCGGGGTGCTGCTGCTCCCGTGCGGCTGCGTGCCCGGTGGCTCCTCCGTGCCCTGCATGCCGCGGCTAGGGAGAGCCGGCTGGGGCCCAGCTCAAGGCGCGGGGCACCCTGGCCGTCAGGACCGCCTGCCCCCCCTGGCGAGCTCCTGAAGCAGGGCAGGCCTGCCTTTCTGTCCAGGCTGGTGCCACAGCTCCGCCCCTCATCCCTGCAGCCTGGCCTCTCAGGAACACGGGGCCCTGGGGGGTAGGGGTTCGGGCGGCGCCGCTCCAGGCCCTCCCTCCAGCTCCATCCTGAAGTTACACCGGTGGAGGCGCTGTGGGCGGTGGGGCAGGGCTGCCCAGCCTCGGGCTTGTGCTCTCTGCACCCAGGGCTCCTTCGTCCCTCATGGCACCTGTCATACCTCCGGCTCTGTGCTAGGCATTGGGGGGGGGGGTTAGGGGGTCCCTGTCCTCAGACAATCAGGGTCCATGTGGGAATTAGCGGTAGAGGTCTGCCCCAAACCTGTTCCCCGCAGATGACCAAGATGCTGGACCTCCTGGAGGACTTCCTGGAGTACGAGGGCTACAAGTACGAGCGCATCGATGGCGGCATCACCGGGGGCCTCCGGCAAGAGGCGATCGACAGATTCAACGGTACCCACCCCACCCAGGGCTCCTGATGGGGACCAGAAGCAGACCATTCCTTAACCCGAGTCCTCACAGCTGCCCCTTAGTTTCATGCTAAAGGAATTCTCCCATGGGCTCTCCGGGAGGCCTGCCAGGTGTTGGGGTGCCCGGTAGGTAACAGGAGGAAGGCAGAGGGGTGGGAAGCAGCACCTTTGTGACGGTGGAGCTGGTGCCCAGGGGGGCTGGCCGGGCCTGTGAGCTCTAACCTCGCACTAGGTCGCCCGCCAGCGACTAGCCGTGCAGGGCAGGCCGAGTGCGCTGCCTCTGGGCTGCTGCCCAGGGGACCGTGGACGGGCCAGCCACGTGCCCACACCCGCCTGCCCTGCTCCTGGCCTGGGGAGGAGAGGTGCAGGCGGGAGACGGGAGTGAGCTGGGCGTGAAGGGCCGTGGGGTGGGAGGTGCCAGCTGAACCAGGGCGTCCAGTGGCCAGTCTGCAGCAGGTCGCCGCGGACTCCGTTTCCCTGGGCCCGTGGCCGTTTCCTGGCATCCACGCTCAGAACAGGCTGGGGCCCCGCTGTCCGAACACCCCAAGCAGCCATGCCTGTGCCCACTCATGTCAGACGGGGGGCGAACACAGAACATCTAGACGTGGCCACGCGTGGTGGGGGTGGCTGAGGCATCGGGCAGTTCGGGGACCTGTTTGCAGCTCTGTGGGTGCTCTGGTCAGTCCTGGGTCACTTAACAAAGGGCTGCTGTGGGCCTGAGAGCCTGTGGGTTGCTGTGGGGCAGCCCAGGCCCCGGGCTGTGACCCTGAGCGGCTCTGGGGCCCTCACAGCATCATGGGCCGGGGAGCCCCAGGGCACAGGAGCCGAGCTCTCCCGGCCTCGTCAGGGGCTCTGCCTGCACTTGCTGGCCGCCTGCAGCTTGGCTTTGCTCGTCTGGGCTCAGAAAGCCGACTGCCTCCTCTTTCTGGCTCCTCCTGTCGGGTCAGGGCTCAGCTCGGGTGGGTCAGGTGGGCTGCTCTGTCCCCACCCGCACTCAGCTGCCCGGCACCCACCTCTCCTCAGCCCCGGGGGCCCAGCAGTTCTGCTTTCTCCTCTCCACCCGGGCGGGCGGCCTGGGCATCAACCTGGCCACAGCGGACACGGTCATCATCTACGACTCGGACTGGAACCCGCACAATGACATCCAGGTCTGTGGCCCTGACGCCCAACCGCCGCAGCCTGTGGGCCCCCCTCACCCCTAGTTTTGTGGCACTCCCCCCACCCCCCCCCACCGACCTCAGTGTCTCAGGCCCTCCCTCCCTCCCGGGCCAGCCCTGGGGATCTCAGCCCCAAGAGGGGCCTGGAGAGGCGAGTGGAGGCTCTGGCCACCCCTCCAGCTCCTCACTGTACAAAGGAGGAAACAGGCCCAGAAAGGGCAGGGGACGTGTCCAAGGACACGCAGCGGTCTGTCATCACCCCAGGACCAAGGCCATCGAGGAGGCAGGATGGGGGAGTCAGTCCTGAGACCCAAAGGGGCCAGGTTGGGATGGGACAGGAGCACAGAGTGGGGGCAAGGCCTGCTGGAGGCGGGGGGATGAAGAGAGCGAGAAGGGCAGTGAAGCAGGTGGGAAAAAATGGGGAGGCTGGGAGGGAGGAGCCCTGGCCACGCTCTGTGGGGCAGGGACACGCACACACACACACACGCATGCACACGTGCACACACACGCATGCACACACACACGCACACACACTGGACACTATGCTCTAGGGCAGTGTTGGTGAACCTTTTGAGCTCGGCGTGTCAGCATTTTGAAAAACCCTAACTTAACTCTGGTGCCTTCACATATAGAAATTTTTTGATCTTTGCAATCATAGTAAAACAAAGACTTATATTTTTGATATTTATTTTATATATTTAAATGCCATTTAACAAAGAAAAATCAACCAAAAAAATGAGTTCGCGTGTCACCTCTGACACGCGTGTCATAGGTTCGCCTTCACTGCTCTAGGGGCACACACAGGCTTGTGTCTCACGCACAGGCGTGTGCACCTATGCAGTCACCACGAAGATGCAATCACACTGGGCCACCTGATGCCGGGCGGGTGCACAGAGCCTTGGCTCCGATCGTGCTGGGCAGCTTCCGGCCTCGCTGCCCTCACGGGGTGGCCGTGCGTCCCCGGCCGTCCCCATTGGCTCCCTCCCGGGGAGCGCAGCCCCCACCTCCCCTGAGCCCCATCAGAGCCCCTTGTGGCTTCATTGCAGCCAGCACACTGGCCACGCTGCCCCTCGCACCCCCCCCCCCCCCACACCTGCGCCCGTTCACCTGCCCAGGCCCCAGGCCCCTGCGAGGCTGCATGCGGGCAGTGCGCCCAGTGACCCTGGCGCCTGCACGTCTCCACGCAAAGCCCCACGGCCCGTCCCACGCAGGGCACGCTCACGAGCACACCTGCATGCCCCCCCTCGGGGTGCTGGCCGTGGCCCTCAGCGGAGCCCGGGCGCTGAGCCGCGGGTCGCCCCCAGGCCTTCAGCCGCGCCCACCGCATCGGGCAGAACAAGAAGGTGATGATCTACCGCTTCGTGACGCGGGCCTCGGTGGAGGAGCGCATCACGCAGGTGGCCAAGCGCAAGATGATGCTCACCCACCTGGTGGTGCGGCCCGGCCTGGGCTCCAAGTCAGGCTCCATGACCAAGCAGGAGCTGGACGACATCCTCAAGTTCGGCACCGAGGAGCTCTTCAAGGACGACGTGGAGGGTGGGTGTCGGCCTGGGGGTGCCCAGCCCCAGCCTCTCCCCCTGCCCCCCCTCCCGTCTCCTGGCCAGCGGCAGGGCCAGGGCGGGTCTCTGGGCACTGTCCCCGGCCTGCAGCCCCTCCGCCTCTGCCCACAGGCATGATGTCTCAGGGCCAGAGGCCCATCACACCCATCCCCGATGTCCAGTCCTCCAAGGGGGGCGCCCTGGCCGCCAGCGCCAAGAAGAAGCATGGCAGCACCCCGCCAGGTACGCCCCCCCCCCCCCCCGCCCCAGCCCCTCCTGCGCCTGCAGAAGGCCTTCCCGGCACCAGGCTACCCGTGGCGTTTGCCGTGTCCCCTGCTCCCCCCTCCCCCTTGCATGCCCGTGACTGCCAGTGGTGGGCAGTGGGGCCGTGGCAGTGGGGGTTCGCTCTCTGGTCCCCATTTTTCACCGCAGCCCCCGCAGGGACTGGGAAGAACCGTGGTCGGGACTTGAGGGGTCCCTGCGTATCCTGGGCACCCCATCTGTCCTCCGACTCTGCACCCTGCCTCTCCCAGGTGACAACAAGGACGTGGAGGACAGCAGTGTGATCCACTACGACGATGCGGCCATCTCCAAGCTGCTGGACCGCAACCAGGACGCCACGGACGACACGGAGCTGCAGAACATGAACGAGTACCTGAGCTCCTTCAAGGTGGCGCAGTACGTGGTGCGCGAGGAGGACGGCGTGGTAGGTCCCGGCCCGGCCACCCTCCTCCTCATGCCGCCCCGGGGCCTGGTGTCCAAGGCCTTCCCAGCCCTGCCCACTGCCCCGCCCCTGCCCCTCCCCCCTGCCCTCTCCCCCTCGGGGCCAGCATCAGGCCCCCCTGGACCACTCCTTCAGGGCACGCCGGCCACACCTGTCCTCTCCGCAAACCCCTGTTACCCCCAAAGGCCAGCTCCTGGGTCTCCCCTCCTCAGCCCGGCACCCGCCACGCAGGCCGTGGTGTGTGTGCTTGTCCCCCACAGCCAGTTTCCCTTAGAGCCTGGGAGCCCCTGAGGGCAGGCGGGGCTCATTCCACTCTGCACACGGCCAGGGAATCCTTGGGGAGTGAATGGAGGGATGAACGGAGGGATGGTGGTGACTGACGGGGCAGGAAGCTGGGCTGATCAGGGAAGGCCTCCTGGAGGAGGCAGGCTTTTCAATTCATCCTTGAGCCCTAAATGGGAGGTGTAGGGAGGCCCCCTCCCTGGGCCCCTCCTCCCCCTGTGGCTGTGTCTGCTGGCCCCGCCTCACCCCCCCGCCTGTGTCTCAGGAGGAGGTGGAGCGGGAGATCATCAAGCAGGAGGAGAACGTGGACCCGGACTACTGGGAGAAGCTGCTCCGGCACCACTATGAGCAGCAGCAGGAGGACCTGGCCCGCAACCTGGGCAAGGGCAAGCGCATCCGCAAGCAGGTCAACTACAACGACACGTCCCAGGAGGACCAGGGTGCGTGTCCGGCTCGGAGGGTGCCCGGTGCCTCGGGGCAGAGGGCCTTGGGGCAGGGTTCTGGCAGGTCAGAGAGGGACCCCGTGGCAGGAGCCCCTGGGGCCGGGGAGCAGGAGCTGTGTGGGACCGGCCTGAGTGGGAGGCTGTGGGGAATTGGGGGCCAGTGTGGGCTGCTGGGTGTTTGGGGAACAAGATGTGTGGTGACCCAGTGACTTCTCTGCCAGTGGTGTGACCCGGGGCAGGCCTCAGCTTCCCCATCTGTAAAATGGGTGGAGAATGGTCTAGCCCTTGGGAAGCAGCGTTGCTGTTGATATTAGGCCGCGAGCTCCCAGGAAGACGGTTTTCATGGCCACTTACTGGGCTGGGATTTAGGGCCTCGGCATGGCCCAGAGGGTAGGAGCCCGGGGGGCTGCTGGCACCTCACCCTGTGCCCCCTGCCGCCCCCAGAGTGGCAGGACGAGCTCTCGGACAACCAGTCCGAGTACTCCATCGGCTCCGAGGACGAGGACGAGGACTTTGAGGAGAGGCCGGAAGGGCAGAGTGAGTCTCGCTGCTGCGGCCAGGCTGGGGCGAACCTGCGCGGGGAGCTGGCGGCCAGCCTGGGGGCTCTGGGGCGTGGGGACAGGCTCGAGAGCAGCTTCGGGGTCGCCCCGAGGGATCCCCGTTCTGGGCGGGTTGGCGGAAAGGGTGGTGTCCGATGGCTCTGGGCCCGCTGACAGGTGGGGGGGGCTGCTCCCCAGGTGGCCGGCGACAGTCCCGGAGGCAGCTGAAGGGTGACCGGGACAAGCCCCTGCCGCCGCTCCTCGCCCGCGTAGGAGGCAACATTGAGGTGGGGCCCCGCTCCCCCCTGTCCAGTCCCCCGCCCCACGCCCCGCTCCCCCTGTCCAGTCCCCCGCCCCACGCCCCGCTCCCCCTGTCCAGTCCTCTGCCCCACGCCCAGCTCCCCCCTGTCCAGTCCTCCGTCCCATGCCCCGCTCCCCCCTGTCCAGTCCTCCGTCCCATGCCCAGCTCCCCGCCATGTCCAGTCCTCCACCCCATGCCCCGCTCCCCCATGTCCAGTCCTCTGCCCCATGCCCAGCTCCCCCCCATGTCCAGTCCTCTGCCCCATGCCCCGCTCCCCCCCATGTCCAGTCCTCCACCCCATGCCCAGCTCCCCCATGTCCAGTCCTCTGCCCCATGCCCAGCTCCACCCCATGTCCAGTCCTCTGCCCCATGCCCCGCTCCCCCCCATGTCCAGTCCTCTGCCCCACGCCCAGCTCCCCCCTGTCCAGTCCTCCGTCCCATGCCCAGCTCCCCCCATGTCCAGTCCTCCGCCCCATGCCCAGCCCCCCCCATGTTCAGTCCTCCACCCCATGCCCAGCTCCCCCATGTCCAGTCCTCTGCCCCATGCCCAGCCCCCCCCATGTCCAGTCCTCCGCCCCATGCCCAGCTCCCCCCCATGTCCAGTCCTCCACCCCATGCCCAGCTCCCCCATGTCCAGTCCTCTGCCCCATGCCCAGCCCCCCCCATGTCCAGTCCTCCGCCCCATGCCCAGCCCCCCCCATGTCCAGTCCTCCACCCCATGCCCAGCTCCCCCATGTCCAGTCCTCTGCCCCATGCCCAGCCCCCCCCATGTTCAGTCCTCTGCCCCATGCCCAGCTCCCCCCCATGTCCAGTCCTCCACCCCATGCCCAGCTCCCCCATGTCCAGTCCTCTGCCCCATGCCCAGCCCCCCCCATGTTCAGTCCTCCACCCCATGCCCAGCTCCCCCATGTCCAGTCCTCTGCCCCATGCCCAGCCCCCCCCATGTTCAGTCCTCCACCCCATGCCCCGCTCCCCCCATGTCCAGTCCTCCACCCCATGCCCAGCTCCCCCCCATGTCCAGTCCTCCACCCCATGCCCAGCTCCCCCATGTCCAGTCCTCTGCCCCATGCCCAGCCCCCCCCATGTTCAGTCCTCTGCCCCATGCCCAGCTCCCCCCCATGTCCAGTCCTCCACCCCATGCCCAGCTCCCCCATGTTCAGTCCTCTGCCCCATGCCCAGCTCCCCCCCATGTCCAGTCCTCCCCCCCATGCCCAGCTCCCCCCCATGCCCAGCTCCTCCCCATGCCCAGCTCCCCCATGTCCAGTCCTCTGCCCCATGCCCAGCCCCCCCCATGTTCAGTCCTCTGCCCCATGCCCAGCTCCCCCCCATGTCCAGTCCTCCACCCCATGCCCAGCTCCCCCATGTCCAGTCCTCTGCCCCATGCCCAGCCCCCCCATGTTCAGTCCTCTGCCCCATGCCCAGCTCCACCCCATGCCCAGCTCCCCCCCATGCCCAGCTCCTCCCCATGCCCAGCTCCCCCCCATGCCCAGCTCCTCCACATGCTCAGCTCCCTTTCGCCCGATTTATCTTGTCACCTCTTGGAACAAAAAGCTCACCCCTGCTGCCCGCCCCCCGGGGGGTGGAGGCCAGGCAGGAAGTGGGGGGTCTGGGGGTCTGTGCAGGGTCCCAGCAAGTGGAGGTGGGGCTGGGATGGACCCTGGGTCTAGGCCTCCCCTCTCTGTGCCCTCCTTCTCCCCCTGCCCCCCTCCCTGCCCCCCTCCGTACCCCCCTCCGTACCCCCCTCCCTGCCCCCCTCCCTGCCCCCCTCCCGAGTTCTCGGCTCCCGCCCTCCAGGTGCTGGGCTTCAATGCCCGCCAGCGGAAGGCCTTTCTGAACGCCATCATGCGCTGGGGCATGCCGCCCCAGGACGCCTTCAACTCCCACTGGCTGGTGCGGGACCTGCGGGGCAAGAGCGAGAAGGAGTTTAGGTAAAGGGGCTGAGGGGGCCCAGGCTCCAGTGGAGTGGCCTGCACACTGCAGGTTCTCTCCCGCCAGGCTTGGGCCTGGGGAATTCACTGCCCTCTGGTCTGTGGGGGGCTGGCTCCAGGCCTGGGCAGGGCTGGGTTGTCCTAAAGGGTCCCCTTCAGGGGACCCCCCCCTGCCCTTCCCGGGCCCTGAGCCGGGCCAGGTTGGGAGGTGGGGGAGGGACGATGATTCCAGCCAGGCGAGCTCCCCGGGGTCCTGCCAGCCCTCGCAGAGGGTCCTTGCTGGCCCCCCACTCCCTGAGCCCCAGTCCCCCCCACCCCAGAGCCTATGTGTCCCTCTTCATGCGGCACCTGTGTGAGCCGGGGGCTGACGGCGCCGAGACCTTCGCGGACGGCGTGCCCCGCGAGGGCCTCTCGAGGCAGCACGTGCTCACGCGCATCGGCGTCATGTCGCTGGTGAGGAAGAAGGTGGGTGAGTCAGCCTCAGGGCCCTGCCGGGGCTGCCTGTGGCCCTGGCATGCTCCGGGGGGGTCAGTGGGCAGAGGCAGGTGCCTGGCTCACACAGCTGCCCAGGGTCTGAGCCAGGCCCAGAATGCCTCTCTGGGGCGTGGTTTGGGGGTGCTGGAGGCCAGGGTGGCAGGTCAAAGGGCAGAGGACCAGGGAGACTGGGATTGGCATGGGGCTTGGCCAACCTGGGGCAGAGGTGGCATCTTCCCTGAGCCTGGGGCACCCCCAGTCACACTGGCAGCTCTGCGACCCTGACGTCTGAGCTGTGACCACCGCCCGCCTCCGCCCTCCTCGGCCCAGGTCCAGGAGTTCGAGCTCGTCAACGGGAGGTACAGCACCCCAGACCTGGTCCCCGAGGGCTCCGAGAGCAAGAAGCTGGGCGAGGCCGTCTCCTCGGATCCCAACACGCCCGTGCCCGCCAGCCCCGCTCACCTCCTGCCCGCCCCGCTGGGCCTGCCAGGTCTGAGCCCGGACGAGTGGGGGAGGGCACCTGGGTCCCGGGAGGGGGCAAGGCCCCAGGAGACCCCGAGTCCTCTGCTCACCCCACAAAGGGCGCTTCCCTCCCCTGAAGCTTCTGTCTGCAGAAGAATTGCTCCCCTGATGGTTTTCTTGTTAATGACAGCGTGGAGGTGTGGCTCACACATCACAACATTGATCCTTTCAAAGTGTGCTATTCGGTAGTTTCTGGTATGTTCACAGGGATGTGCTGCCATCACCTCTCTCCGATTCTTGAACATTTTTCACCCCAGAACACACACGTACCATGAGCATCACCCCCATTCCTCCCCAGTGCCCTAGCCCCTGCAGCCACCAATCTACTTACTGTGCCAATGGGCTTGTCTGTTGTTCTGGACGTTGCTTGTATGTGAATCATGCATTTGTGGCCTTTATGCCTGGCTTCCCTCATGTTGCCAAGGCCCATCCATGTGGGGGCGTGTCAGTACTTCATTCCTCTTTTTTAAAAAAATATTTTTTTATTGATTTCAGAGTGGAAGGGAGAGAGAGAGAGAGATAGAAACATCAGTGATGAGAGAGAATCATTGATTGGCTGCCTCCTGCACGCCCCCTACTTGGGATCGAGCCCACAACCTGGGCGTGTGCCCTGGCCGGGAATGGAACCTTGACCTCCTGGTTCACAGATGGATGCTCAACCACTGAACCACACTGGCCGGGCAGTCCTTCATCCCTTCTTATGGCCGAATCACATCCCCGCGTGGCTGCCCATGCTGTGTGTCCCTTCGCCCGCGGGTGGGCTGGGCTGTTGCTTCTCTGGCTGCTGTGGATATGCCGCCGTGAGCCTCTGTGCCCCAGTTGCGATGTGGGCGGGTTTTCATTTCTCGCGGGTGCAGCTGGGCCTGGGAGCGCGGGCCCTGGGCGGTAATTTCGGAGGAACTGCCCCACTTCTCGCGGTGGCCGCGCCACTCCGCCGGCTCAGCAGCGTTTGCTTAAGGCCGAGCTGGTGGTGGGCAGTGGGTGGACCTGCCTTCCCCTGAGGACAGCATCGTGGTGCCGTGGGCTTGGTGCAGCCTCTTTGGAAAAGGCCTTTGCAGGAGCACTGCCCATCTCCGTGCGTTCTTTCTCGCTGCGTGTCTTTTTGGTGATCCGGGATTCATTTGGGCAAAACGCCTTCTCTCACGTGGACCCCTCAGGCCTGGGCAGCCCTCAGCTACCTCCCCAGGTGGCAGGTGAGGCCCTGAGAAGGTGGGTGCCTCGGAGGACACCCTGCTTCTGGGCACAGTGTGTCCCGGGAGGTGGCCACTCCTGGGTGTGCCTCCGGGCCCTGGGTGACCTTAGGAAGTCACTTACTCACCTGGGCTGTGGACATGCCACTTCCCACGAGCCCTCCACTCGGCAGTGTGTTGGGAACTGACTCGGCCTCCCTGCTCCCCGCCCGAGCCCACCTGCCTCACCCTTCCCCTTCATCTTGCAGACAAAATGGAAGCCCCGCTGGGCTTCCTGGATGAGAAGGAGCTGGGGGTGCAGAAGCTGAAGAAGCCTCCGGAAGTCCAGGTGTGGGCGACGTGGGTGTCTGGGCCTGGGCAGGGACGGGCGGGGTCTAGGGACCTCTCAGGCCTGGCCCAGAACTCCTCGGGGCTCCTGTTTGGGCCTCTGGGTTTGGAGGATCAGGGTGGGAGCCAAGAGCGTGGGTCCCAGCCCAGAGCCCGTTCCTGGCCTTGCCCTCCTGCCGAGGCCTCACCTGCCTCCCTAGGCCCTGCCGACGGCCCTGGACAGAGCGGAGGGTGAGGACAGGCAGGAGAGCTCAGACGGCAAGGAGAGGACCCGGGAGGAGCGGCCGGAGGAGGCGGAGAAGGCCCAGCCCTCCCCGGAGCAGCTGTCAAAAGGTGAGGTGTGGGCTTCCCCGGGCACCCAGCCAGCCAGGCACCCTCCCAGCCAGGTACCCACCCAGCCAGGCACCCAGCCAGCCAGGCACCCACCCAGCCAGGTACCTACCCAGCCAGGCACCCAGCCAGCCAGGCACCCACCCAGCCAGGCACCCTCCCAGCCAGGCACCCTCTCAGCCAGGCAACCCACCCAGCCAGGCACCCTCCCAGCGCTGTCTCCTGCCTCACCCACCCAGGTTAGAGAGGCGGCCGCTGGCTCCCCTCCCCCTCCCCCTCCCCCTGGCCATGAGGTGGGCTGTGCTTGTTCTGTCCCAGCACCTAGACCCCAGGGGAGCCGGGACTCAGTCTCTCCTCTGGGCTTGCACTCCTCAGAGTTAGGGGTTTGTGGGCTTGCTTTTCAGGAGTGATTTCAAACTCAGTTTGCATTGCGGCGTGAGATCGCGTGGGCGTGGCGTTGCTTCTGTGTGATATTGTCGAAACCTGCTTTCTGCCCTAATGCGGTCAGATTTGGTCAGCGCTCACGTGTGCTTGGAAGGAACATCTGTCCTACAGACGTGTGATTGCGGGTGTGAGGCTCTAAGGCAGTGGTTCTCAACCTTCTGGCCCTTTAATACAGTTCCTCATGTTGTGGTGACCCCCAACCATAACATTATTTTCGTTGCTACTTCATCACTGTCATGTTGCTACTGTGATGAATCGTCATGTAAATATCTGATATGCAGGGTGGTCTTAGGCGACCCCTGTGAAAGGGTCGTTCGACCGCCAAAGGGGTCGCGACCCACAGGTTGAGAACCGCTGCTCTAAGGCCTGTCATGTTGTTCAGCGTGTTCCTGTCCTTCCTCATCGTCGGTTTGCTTTGATCAGAGCTTTGGGCGCTGTGGTTAGGGTGGTGGTAGGCGGATTTCCAGGCTGTGTCTTTAGGAGTTTGGGGGGGTGCTGCTGGGGTGCGAGTTGCTGCTGGGGGTGTCCATGCCCCGCCCACCTCCCTGGAGGAGTTTCCCTTGAGGCACAGGGCTGTGTGCGCGGCTGACGCAGAGCTGCCCTCCCGGCCCCCACCCATGAGCACCCTTTGTCTTGCAGAAGTGCTCCCCGAGAAAGAGAAAGGTCTGGACCAGCTGGAGCTGAGCCTGGCTCACAGCAGGGACGGCAGCGACTTGAGGCCAGGTGCGGCCTCCTGCACACGCGTGCTGCCCCGTGTCCCGTGGTCCCTTGAGGGCGCCGTCTGACCCTGTGGGGACTTCGCAGCCTCCTGGGCACCGTCCCCTTGGCGCTAGGCCCTGGTGGGAGTTGATGGGTGGGAACTGACCTGCTGCCCCACGGGACAGGTCCCCCGCTCTCTCCTGACCCCTCCTGTGGCCCCAGCCGCCACCAGGAGGAAGGAGAGCTGGCCATGAGCTGGGCCTGGAGCATTTGGGGCTCAGCCAGAGGCCTGTGTACCTCTGGGTGCTGGGATGTTCTAGAACAGGTGTCCCCTGCTCAGACCCCTAAGGCTGCGCTGCCTTCCTTGAACATAAGCTGCACTTCTCACGGTGCCCTACCCCGTTCCCAGGTGGTCCTGACTCGGTGGGGAGGGGCGCCTGGGCGGGAGCTAGCCCTGCATGCTTGTGTGTTTAAAACCCCTCTCTGAGCCCCTAGAGGATGGGAGGTGTGTCCCCGCTAGCCTTTGGGTCCCCAGAACCTGGCAGAGAGGCCCCTGGGCAGTGCCTTTGGGGATAAACGAACATAGTCTGTCCTCCCATAGATGACACCAAAGCTGAGGAGAAAGAGCCCATGGAAACCCAGCAAAATGGTGACAAAGAGGAGGATGAAGAGGGGAAGAAGGAAGACAAGAACGGGAAGTTCAAATTCATGTTCAACATTGCAGATGGGGGCTTCACAGGTATTAGGTGGGGTGGTGGGCAGAGCTGGGGTGGTCGATGTCCCGCCTTCCTGACGCATGGGTCCTGGGAGTCTGGCAGATGGGTTTTTTATACTAAAGTGTGAATGGCTGATGAGAGTGCATTGTATAACCTTTCCTAGTGACACTGAGCCTCTCGGGGTGGGAAGATGGTAGGCAGTGAGGAGAGGCTTTCCTGGGCCACCTCTGTGAGGGACGGGGGTGCCTCATTCTGTCCCCGTTCACTGGTGTCCTAGAGCTCCACACACTGTGGCAGAATGAAGAGCGCGCCGCCGTGTCCTCGGCCGCTGTGTCCTCGGGGAACGTCTATGACATCTGGCACCGACGCCATGACTACTGGCTGCTGGCAGGCATCGTGACGTATCCTTGCCACGCCAGGCTGTGCAGGACTCGGGCCTGCTCTGCTGTGGACCTCGGGGAGGGACATGAGGTGTGTGGGGTGAGGAGTCAGGAGCCAGGGCCCCTTTCCTGATGATGATGACGATAATGATGATGATGGTGATGGTGATGGTGGTGATGTGGTGATGATGGTGATGGTGATGGTGGTGATGTGGTGATGATGGTGATGTTGATGGTGATGTTGATGGTGATGATGATGGTAGTGATGGTGATGATGGTGATGGTGATGGTGGTGATGGTGGTGATGGTGATGGTGATGGTGATGATGATGGTAGTGACGGTGATGATGGTGATGGTGGTGATGGTGATGGCGGTGATGATGATGGTGATGGTGATGGTGGTGATGGTGATGGTGATGATGATGGTAGTGATGGTGATGGTGGTGATGGTGGTGATGGTGATGGCGGTGATGGTGATGGTGATGGTGATGGTGGTGATGGTGATGGTGATGATGATGGTAGTGATGGTGATGGTGGTGATGGTGGTGATGATGATGGTAGTGATGGTGATGGTGGTGATGGTGATGGCGGTGATGGTGGTGATGATGGTGATGGTGGTGATGGTGATGGCGGTGATGATGATGGTGATGGTGATAGTGATGGTGATGGTGATGATGGTGATGATGGTGATGGTGATGGTGGTGATGGTGATGGTGGTGATGGTGATGGTGATGGTGATGGTGATGGTGGTGATGATTGTGATAGTGATGGTGATGATGGTGATGGTGATGGTGATGATGATGATGGTGATGATGGTGATGGTGATGGTGGTGATGGTGATGGTGATGGTAGTGATGGTGATGATGGTGATGATGGTGATGATGGTGATGATGGTGATGGTGATGATGGTGATGATGGTGACCCTAATAGCAGCAGCTCATCCCTTTACCCTCAATGCTCACTCCATCCTCACAGCAACTTTCCATGAGGGGCACTACATGACCCCCTTATACAGAGGAGGAAACGGATGCTCAGAGAGGCCAAGTGACTTCCCCAGAGATACACAGCTAAGAAGTCACAGCCCACCCATCTGACTCCATAGCAAATGGTCCTAATTCCTATGTACACAGACATCACCTCCTCCCAGTAATGACCCCTGAAGGCTGCTTCACTCTTAGTCCCATCTCTATTGCTCACCGACCATGTGCCAGGCATGGAGGATGCCGCCCCCAGTCCCCGCCCACCTGGAACTGGCATCCTACTGAGGGGAGATGTGAACACATGAGCTGACAGCGTGGGCCGGGGGGGGGGGCACAGGGGGCTTTGGGTGGGGCCGCGTTTCCATTGGGTGATTAGAGAAGGTGACATTTGAGCACAGACCTCCCGGAGGCAAGAGGAGCCCCCAGCAAAGCTGGCCTTCATGACAGCCTCGCGCAGGGCTGGTTGCCATGACGAGAGGGAAGTGCTGTGGACAGGAGCCGGCAGACAGGTCCTGCAAGGGGTGGAGAGTGAACACTGCAGGCTTTGCTGGGTGACCACTCTACTCTGCCCTGGTAGCGCAAGTAGCCACAGACAGCACGTGACCAGTGAGCGTGGCCATGTTCCAATAAAACTTTATTTATAAAATGAGGCTGTAGGCCCTGGCCTACTGATCCCTGCCATGGAGGCTAAGGTGTCAGAGCCAGGCTGCCTGGGTTCAGATCCTGACTCTGCCCCTCACAGCTGGACCTTGTGCATGAAACTGTCCTCTGTTCCCGCAGGCACCTCAGTGGCGGCGCCTCCTCGCTTCTCCCCAGCTCTGGGGCAGCCCCATCCCTGCCCACCCCCTGGTTTGAAACTACATCCCCCCAATCTTCCCTGGTGTCTGTGTGTCTGTGTTCAAATCTCCTTTTATAAGGATACGTGCTCACCCTAACGCAGTATGAGCTTTTCTTTTTCTTTTTTCTTTTTTTAATATATTTTATTGATTTTTCACAGAGAGGAAGGGAGAGAGATAGAGAGTCAGAAACATCGATGAGAGAGAAACATCGATCAGCTGCCTCCTGCACATCTCCTCCTGGGGATGTGCTCGCAACCCAGGTACATGTCCCTCACCGGAATCGAACCTGGGACCTCTCAGTCCGCAGGCCGACGCTCTATCCACTGAGCCAAACCGGTTTCGGCGCCTTTTCTTTTTTCTTTTTCTTTTTTAAAATATTTTTATGGATTTCAGAGAGGAAGGGAGAGGGAGAGAGAGATAGAAACATCAGTGATGAGAGAGAAGCATTGATCGGCTTCCTCCTGCAGGCCCCACACTGGGGATTGAAATTGCAACACGGACATGTTCCGTGACCTCCTGGGTCATAGGTTGACATTCAACCACTGAGCCCCGCCAGGCAGGCAGTATGAACCCCTTAACTTAAGACCCTGTTTCCAAATGAGGGCAGTCCCAGGTGCTGGGTTAGAACTTGAACGTGTCGCCCCCGCTCCCGCACCCCTCAGCCCCCGCCCCCTGCCCCCACCCCTGCCCTGCCCCGCTTGGGTTGTCGGGGTGCCGCCCTGCAGAGCCTCAGCGCCGTGTCTGCGCCCAGTGGGGCCCTGTCAGTGTCCGCTGACTGTCATGTCATCAACACGCTCATCCTGCAGCCGAGGTCATGACTTGTCCGAGAATGCAGCCAGACTCTGCCCCCGCCCCGCCCCCGCCCCGCCACCCCGGTCCCATGGCCAGGTTTGTCCTTAACGGTGCCACCCAGGCACGGCTACGCCCGCTGGCAGGACATCCAGAACGACCCAAGGTACATGATCCTCAACGAGCCCTTCAAGTCTGAGATCCACAAGGGCAACTACCTGGAGATGAAGAACAAGTTCCTGGCCCGCAGGTTCAAGGTCAGAGGTCATGGGGGGCCGGGCTGCAAGAGGGGCGGGCTAAGGGGTTAGCAAGCAGCAACCCCCTTCCCCATATGTCCGATGCGGCCCAGGCTGTCCACAGAGGGGAGTCATTTCGTCATCGGCTCACGGGTGCTGGGCCCCTGCCCTGGGTCAGGCCCCGCTGGGCGCGTGGCCCCGCTCTGGGTGACGGTGCAGCTTGTGAGGGCTCCGCGGCGACCGTGATAAGATGAGGACGGACTGCTGAGTGGGAGGGTGTCCTTCCTCCCTCCTTTCTGCTCAGGCTCCCGGACAGGGGTGGTGCTGGTGGAGAAGGGCCAGGCCCACGCTCATTGGCCCCCCCTTTCCTCCCCCCGCCCCCCCCCCCCCCCCCCAGCTGCTGGAGCAGGCGCTGGTCATCGAGGAGCAGCTCCGGAGGGCCGCGTACCTCAACATGACCCAGGACCCCAACCACCCAGCCATGGCCCTGAACGCCCGCTTGGCCGAGGTGGAGTGCCTTGCCGAGAGCCACCAGCACCTGTCCAAGGAGTCCCTCGCCGGGAACAAGCCTGCCAACGCCGTCCTGCACAAGGGTGAGGCCGCGCCCCGTGGGCTGAGCCCGCCGGCGTCCTGCCCGGTGCATCGCTGGCCAGAGATGCGGGCGCTGATGGGGACCTGGGCCCGGGACAGACGTCAGCCGAGGGCAGAGCCTCTTGGCCAGGACGGGACAGTCCATCGCCCAGTCCCTCAGGCCCTGACGATGAGCCTGAAATACGTTCTGTGATCCTCGTAATATCCTAGGTGGTGAGGGTTGTCGCCCCATTTTAAAGATGGGGACCCAGACACTCAGGTCATGGCCTGAGTTCCCGCGTTCAGACCTTGGACCCTCCTTCTCCAAATCTTCAGGAGGCTCCAGACTGGTTGGCGGAGGGGCGCCCCTGCTGCCTGGGAGGGAGGCGTTGCCTGAGGCCTCTGCCCGTGGCCTCCACCCTGTCCCCAGCGTGGTGGGAGCAGGAGGCGGGCCTCGGGGGAAGCTCGTGTTGGCTCCCTCTCTACAGCGGGGGCCCCTGGGAGACGCTCTTTGGGGAGCCCCTGTCTTCTCCCTGGTGTCATGGCCCTGCTTTGCGGGCCTCGGAGGGCTGGGCGAGGAGCTGCTCTGGGGGCGCAGTGACGGCCTGTGAGCGAGCACGGCCAGCGGCCCCAGCCCGCGCCTCCCTTCCTCCCAGTCCTGAACCAGCTGGAGGAACTGCTGAGTGACATGAAGGCGGACGTGACCCGCCTGCCCTCCATGCTGTCCCGCATCCCCCCGGTGGCCGCCCGCCTGCAGATGTCGGAGCGCAGCATCCTGAGCCGCCTGACCAACAGAGCCGGCGACCCCACCGCCCCGCAGGTCAGGGCCGGGCGAGCCCCTCACACGCCCCCAGCGCGCCTGGCGTGGGAGTGGGTGTGGGTCTGCCAGGCAGGACCGTGAGCTCTAAACCCGAGTCCTTGCCTCCAGGGCGCTTTCGGCTCCTCCCAGATGTACAACAGCAGCTTCGGGCCCAACTTCCGGGGCCCCGGACCGGGAGGGATCGTCAACTACAACCAGATGCCCCTGGGGCCCTATGTGACCGGTAGGTGCCCATCTGCCCCGGGCAGCATGCGCGGGGTGCCCGCGGGGCCGACCGCCCTGGGAGAGCCAAGGTCTTCTCTTCCCACAGATATTTAGCTGGCCCCGCGGCTTCCCTCTCTCGCAACGCTCGTTCCCAGCTGAGGTAAGGCTGCTCCTGGCTCCAGGGTCCCCTCCGTCCCCAGCTCAGCCGGCAGCTCAGGCCTGGCCAGAATCAGCCCTGTCCACCTGCTGATTCTCAGCCCTGAGCCATGCGGGCCTCACGGCCTCTGGGGCTCCTGGGGTCTCGCCCACGTGCCTGGAGCCCCCTGACCCAGCCCCCTCTGCCCTGGGGTCCATCTCGGGGCCAGTGCGTCTGCCCAGGCTTCCTTCCGGACACTTCCCAGGAGGCTGGGAAGGCAGGGCGCAAAGGGGCGCGCTCCTATGTGCACATGTGTGTCCCTGCGTGAGTCAGGGACCGCCGCCGGCCCGGACCCCGCCACCTCCTCTCCCCTCTGCCCGGCTGAGCAGTGGGCGCCCCAGACTCACCTCTCATCTCGCTCGGCTCCCTGCCCGGGGCTAGGAGGGTGGCGGGAGGGGGGCGGGCGGCTGGAGAGGGAGCTTATCCAGTGCACCCTGCCCCCCAAGCCCGTCGGTCCTGTGAGAACTTGGCTTTAGGGTGGGGGTGGGGGTGGGGGGTGTTTCCAGCCTGGCTGCCTCGGGGGCTGCTGATTGCTGGGGCGCTCTCTGGCACTTGGGGAGGTCTTGGCTGGAGACGCCCCTCTGATTACAGCTGCTTGTGATGGGCAGTGGGTGGGGCAGTGACAGCGTGTGGGGTGCTGCACCCAATGCCGACCCGGCCCCCCACCTCTGTAACCCGTGACCTGCCTCTTGCAGCCAGGCCGGCCGGCCGCCTGCCCGACCCCCACAGGAGAGGACAGCTCCTGCCTTTGTCGGCGCCGCCGGGGCCAGAAGGGAACCCGAGTGATGCCATCACGTGGGGGCGGGGCCCAGAAGTGCCACCTCATCACCCCGCGTGTTCCACACAGCGTCCCCCCACACGGCCGTGCCCGGCCGCCTGCCGGCGACGTCTTAGCGCAGACTTCATTTATTTGTACATCGTTTGCACTTTCCTATTGAAGACTTGAACAGGTTTGTCTTGATAAACGTTGAGTGGCGTCGGGAGGAGACTAACCCGCATACGTCTGTCTGTCTGTCAGTCAACGGGCTCCAGACGGACGGACAGCGGAAGCTCCCGGAACCCTGCCGCCGCCCCGGCCCTGCAGCGTCTGCCGGAGCGCTCGTGTGCCCCACTCACCGTCCCGTCTGCACTGCCTTCCACTCTGCCCCCCCCCCCCCCCACGGGCGGCCCCCAGTGCCAGGCTGCTGCCCGGGTTAGGGCCGGCCTTTATTCTCCCCTCCTGCAGGGCTGGGGACCAGCAGGGAGGGGCGCCTCCCAGCAGGTGGGACTGTGAGCACCCTCTGAGTCCATGGCCGCTGCCCGGCGGAGCAGGCCCAGTGCGTGCTCCTGGGCGGGGGGAGGCCGTGCGGCGTGAGCCTGCGTCTCGGCCACCTGCCAGGTGTGGCTGTGGACAGGTGTGCTAGCATTTACAGGAGGTCACAGCAGCTCTGAAGGCGGCCGGGAGCCCTTGGCCCTGCCCTGGTTGTGTCTATGGAGAGGCCTCGATCCAGGCACTTGTCACTGGGCAGGGCCCTACGTGCCCGAGATGTGCTCCCAGAGGCTTGGGAAGCGGGAGGCGGGGGACCCAACCTGATGCTCTCCAGCACGCCACACCCCTCCCGTCGGAGCTTCCCAGGCATCCCACCTCATTCCTGCCAGGAACACGGTCCTGGCCCCTCTGCCAGCTGGTGGTGCCTGTAACTGCCCAGGTGTGGGGCAGGGGGTGGGCCAAGCCCAGGCCCATCTGTCGGACGCTCAGCCTGGAGGGGTTTCCCAGCCTTGGGCTTCCTGGGGAGACGCTCTGGGTAAGAATCTGTTTGAGTGGCAGGAAGGCTGGGCCTGGGGTGGGGTGCCCCGAGGGGCTTGGGCTCCACTCCTGGGACCAGGACTGGGGCCAGGATCTGGAGGCTCACCTTGGGGACAGCTGGGTGACTGACTGGCCACACAGAGCCCCAGGCGTCTTCCCCCGCAAATGGCTCGCTCTGAGGCCTGGAGGGCTGGGCCCCATGCCCCTTCCATCCTGGCAGCCCCACTTTCCATCCTCATCAAACCCTCCAGGGCAGGCCAGCCTGGCATGGGGGTGGGTGGTGGGAGGGTCTGGAGGTGCCGGCAGGTTTCCAGCACATGCACACAGCCGCGGCCGACCCGCTCTGGGGTGGGGCATCCCAGTTCACTGCGGCTCACCTGCACGCGTGTCCCCGGCCAGTGTCCCTGCAGGGGCCCTGGCTCAGCCACAGGCAAGTGACTGCCACGGGCCCCCTCCACCCAGGCCCTGAGGTGCCCCTTCCTGTGGGTGGCCTCGAGGGGCACAGTGCCAGCCTTCCCCGGCCACGTGGACAGTCTGAGCGTCCGCCGGGAGGCACCTGGCAGCGGGAGAGGGTCTGCGTCCATCGTCCCCAGGCCTGTGGCCCCTCCCTTCCGCCCTTCCTCCCCGGGGAGCCTCCTTCTGCCCCCTCTGTCTCCATGCCCTTCCCAGGCCTTGCCAGTGCCCCCTGGGTCCTTCTCACCAGGGACCCACAGTCGGCCCGGCCCCTGGCACTGCTGGCTGGGAAAGGCTGTGGCTCCCACGCCCGGCGCCCGGAGGCCCAGGACGAGGGCAGTGGGCACTTTCTGCTAACTGCTTTGGGAGAGAAAAGGGATCGTAAGAATGTTTTCTTCTTGGTTTATCAGTTATCTCCCGCCAGGGCGGTGGGGCGGAGGCCCCCTGCTTTGGCATCTTCGGGCGGCTTTGGTTTTGCTGCTGGCAGAACAGGGGTCGTCGTGGGCCAGCGGAACCCCAGGTGCCAGGCTGGTTTTGTTATGATTTGAACCCGTGCGAGTAGGCTTCTGTTGGGCCACAGTCCCCGAAAGCATCTCCCGCCGGGCTCCAGCCGACGCGGGGGGTTAGGGTTGGACTGTGTTGGGGGGCCCCGTCAGGAGGCCCGCCCTGCCAGCGCCTTCAGGAGCTCCTTTGTTTTCTGCCAATTGTGACCAAGGTCTTGCTGACGCCCACAGCTGGCCTGGGTGCCACCCCCACCAGGGGTCCCCTGCCCAGGCTGGGAGCAGAGACTGGTGACATCTGTACCCTTGTTCCCAGGGCCCGGGTACCAGGGCTCTGGAGGGTCTGGGGGCTCGTGTAGAGGGAGGGCTTGGGGACCGTGGAGCGCGGTTTTGGCCTGGCCACTGCCTGGGGTCTCCCCACTGCCCCTGTGGCTGTCCCGTGCCCACCACCGTCTCCATCGAGGGAGCCGGCTCCAGCCCCATGTTCAGTCCCCGCAAGTTTACAGGTTGTGGTATATCAGCCCAAAGTCATTGGCGTTGTTTTACATTTTTTTCTTAGTTTCCAGATTTTTTTTTAAACAAAGTATTTTTTTAAGTACAATAACCCAGAGAGGGCCCGTCAAGTGTGTGTGTGTGTCCTGAACCCCCGGCATCGAGGCGGGAGCCTGAGCCCAGCCCAGAGATGAGGGGGACTCCCACCCGGCGGCCCCCGGCCCAGCGGAGGGGCCAGGCCCCTGCCCGCCAGCCCTGGGTCCCAGCAGGGGGGAACCCAGCAGGGGGTCCCAGGAGGGGGGTCCCAGCTCGGTGGGGGCTGGGGCTTTGGGAGCGGAGCCCCTGTAAGTGGTGACCTGTCCTGCCCTTGGAGGACGTGAGGGACCCTGGACAGAGACCGTTGCTGCCTGCCCCCTTCACTTTGTACTCTGTGTGTGTCTTGGTTTTCTGCGTTTTAATAAATCCTTTGGCAAAGGACCGAATCAGTGTTTTCCCTCGATTCTCATGATCTAGGAGCGGGTGGGGCTGGGGAGCAGAGGGTGTGGGGGATGGGGTGTTGCCCGAGAAGACCCTGCCCCACAGGGCTGAAGGGCTCCCTGGGAGAGCCGGGCACCCCAAGAAGGGTGTGCATGGGTGGTGCCTAACCCTCCCACCTGCAACCCTAAACACAGCCCCCACTGCATCAAACAGATGCCCCTGGACCCAACCTGTGTTCCCAGAGGGCACAGAGCCCCCCAGCAACCAGAGAGCATGTGATGGGGGCAGTGGGGGCACCCCCATTCCTGAATCACTCAGGAGAGATGGGGGTCTTGGTCCCCAATCTCTGCCTCTTCTCCAGGGCCCATTTCTCCCAACCCGCCCTTGGCTGCAGGCTTCGGGGCCCCCCGTCTGCTGAATGGTAGCAGCCTGCCCCCTCCTACTGCCAAGCCCTGACCAAGCCCCCCAAGCCCGGAAATGAGGGGAGCAGCAGGCGGGACCGCGGACCCACGGGCTTGGGTTTTATTGGTCATTCCATAAATACGTGTCATTGGGAAGCGAGGCGGATGGCGGTCTCGCCTACGGAGGGAGCGCATTAGCGGGGGAACCACAGTCATAAAAAAAACCGGAGGAAAAAGCGCGTTATTTACAAGACAAGCAAGACCAGTGAGCCCGCCCCTCGGCTCTGACCAGATGCGGGTGAAGAGGAGGCAGGACTCTGTGTGGCATCAACAAGCAAAACCGACCCCAGCCTGTCCTGGCCCAGTCCCATGTAGGGCACTCCCGGCGGGGGGGGGCGGGGGGCAAGGCTGGGGGGCAGCGCCCCACCCTGTGCAGGGGCCGGGCCACCCTCTGGGGCCACCTTGCCCAGCTCATCCCTTTCCCGGCTCTGACCTCCTCTCCCCACTCCAGCTCCCTCCTGAGTCGGGGGCCTGTCCCCCAGGAAGCAGAGGCCACTGAGAACCAGGCTGGGCCGGGGCTGCTGGGTCCTGCAGCCTCTGCGGAGCTCAGCCCGGGCCCCGCCCGCCGCTGCCCAACACGCGGCCAATGGGCCGGCCTCCCAGGTGTGGCCTGTGGGGCAGAAGCCCCGCCTCTGGCCCCCGGCAAGTCTGGTCCCTGTTGGTGGGTGGTCAGCAGGTGGTCTGGGGCAGCGTGTGGAGGCCCAGCCACTTGCCCGGGGAGGGGTGGGCCTGGACAGAATGCCCCCACAGGCCCGCCCTCAGAGCAGGACACCCTCCCGTAGGATGGGGAGTGGCACAGGTTGGGCATTCAGCAGGACCAGCGCTGCCCACTCCCCACACCCACACATGAAGCTTGTAGGGGACGAGCTGGAAAAGACCCCAAGGGCCAGGCCTACGAGGAGGGGAAGGTTCTAGACTCCAGGCTCAGCACAGAGGTCAGGAGTGGAGAGAGCTGTCCCCACGCCCCTTGCCTTTGTGGCTTTTCTCAAAGCCCTTTCCCAGCCTCAGCCCAGCCAGGATGGTGCAGGCCTCTGAGAATGGCAGGGGGGAGACGGGAGGAGGCCTTGGGGGGCAGCTCTGCACACAGGACCGCTGTGCAGGCCTCCTGGTGACGGGAGGGTGTGGGGTGCCTGGGGGGCTGGCACACAGGGCCCCCACAGAGCAGCTGGCACATCTGTAGAGCCCAGCTCCTGCCCCCCACATAGCCGGCAAAGGCTGGGGCACTTCTCAGGACCATGGGGCTGGGGCTCCTGGCTGCAGGCCCCCCTCTGCTCCCCCGTCCCCTCTGGCCCCAGGCTGGGGTTGCAAGGGGCTGACAGCCTGTGTGTCCGGCTCTTCGTCCCTGTCCCCAACCTGCTCCAGGCTGGGGAGTGGTGTGAAGTGACACCCTCACTTGTCACAGAGTGTGGGGGCCCAGGGGTGACACTTAGCTCCCCAGGACGGAGCACCTCAACCCCGCCTGATCCGAGGCCTCGCAGAGCACCTCTTCAGGGAGAGCCTCCGGGGGTCGTTCCTCCACGGTGGGGGCTGCTGCTCGGGGTACAAGACCCCCGCCCTGGGCGCAGACAGAAGACCCGGGGCCCCCGGGAAGGGCTCAAGCCTGTCCGCTCTGCAGACGCCGAGGCCGACCCCCAGCAGAGCAGGGCGTCCTCTTCCACACGTGGTTCAGCAGCCACAGTCCAGCTCGGCACGCACGGCCCCGGGGCCTGCCTTCCGGGGCAAGGACAGAGGGCAGCGACCTGGGTACCTGGCAGGGAGCGCAGGTGGGGCCCCTGCCAAGGGCAATGAACTTGAAATAAGACCCCAAACTTCTTGTGGGCCCCAAACTGCAGAGCCAACCCCCCTGGGTCCCGACCCCTACCAGCCAGGGAGTAGGTGGGGTCAAGGGACAGCACAGAAGGCGCCTCAGAGACCCCCTGGGGCAGGGGTGGGGAAGCAGCTGAGGTCGGGCCCTTGGTCAGAGGGAGACCCCCTGGGGAGGCCCAGGCCAGCGCCCAGGGCCCTGCGGAGGGGCCCCAGGAGGACCAGGCCCGGGGTCCTCCCCGCCGCCAACACCAGAGGTTCTCGGCCCCGGTCCAGCCTGGCCTGGGCTTGCGGAGGCTCCGGGGAGGCCCAGCCTGTGGGGGGACACCTGACCGGGCCGTCCCGGCAGGACGAGGGTCCCCGGAGCAGTGGGTGGTGTGTCGCAGCGGCTTCTTTGTTCCCTGGGACACCTTGGAGGGTTTTCTTTGTGATGCGAACCACATTCGTGACTTGGCTTCAGAAAAGCGGAAGCAAGGGGCAGCGAACAGACTGGGCGGGGAGGGAGTGTCCGGCCAGCGGGCCCCTAGGACCGGTAGTCCTTCTTGCTGTAGGGCTTGTTGCCCAAGATGCTGTCGATCTCGTGGACGATGGAGGACGACAGCTTGGGGAGGACCTGTGGGCCAGGACAAGAGCAGGTCGGGGTCCTGCCAGGCGCCTGTGGGGGAGGCGGCCGCGGGGCCCTCAGGGCGTCCAGCTCCAGCGGAGGCAGATGGGCCACACTGCTGTCTATTCCAGAAGGTTCGGGGCAGAGAGGAAGTCTGCCCTAGGGCATACATTGCCCCTCAAAGGCCAGCGTACTCCAGAACCTTCTGGGAGGCATACAGTGCGGCCTCCGGGGCCAGACCCCTGATCACCACACCCCAAGCCGCCTTCCCAGCCTTCCCCACCTCACCCTTCCTTGTGCCAAACCCAGGGGCGTCTCTGACTCGCTCCCCCTCACATCCAGTTTGTGGGCCAGTTCTGCCGGCCCACCTTCCAACATCCAGATGGCTCCCCATCTCCTCCACCACATCTCCTTGCTCCCCAGTCTTCCCTGCACTCAGCAGCCAGAGAGAGGAGGGGTCACTTTTAAGACCAAAGTCAGACCGTGCCCCTACTCTCCTGGGACCACAGGGCTCCCACGGCAGCTTAATCACCCCTCACTGCTGCCTCCGCCCCCCACTCCTGCCTCCGCCCCCCACTCCTGCCTCCGCCCCCCACTCCTGCCTCCGCCCCCCACTCCTGCCCTGCTCTTGGGCCTTCGCCAGCCCTGGCCACCAGCAGCTGCCCTGCTGCCTGGCCCCTTCTTTCCTGAGGATGTGCATGGCCACGCCTCACCTGGGGGCCTCTGCTCACAGGCCACTGTCTCCCCGAGCCCACGCTGATAGCCCCTTCACCCTGGGCCCATGGCTCTGCCTCGCCCAGACACCCGCCCTCATACCGGCTTATTCCCCCTCACAGCGCTCATCTGACACCCACTCTCACCCCCTACTTCTCCACTTCAGTGCCTGCTGTCTCTCGGGCTAGAACACCGGCTCTTCCAGAGCAGGCTCTTCGGGGGTTCGCTGACGGAGCCCACGTGCCTAGCACAGTGCCTGGCACGTAGCAGAGGCTCCGCGAATACCTGCTGGGCAGATGACCGACGGGGCCGCTCACCTGTATTGCTCCAATGTTCTCCATCAGCTGGTCTGCACTGGACGCGCCCAGGAGCACAGAGCTGACGCCCTCATTCCTCAGGCACCAGGCTGGGGGCGGCGAGACAGAGGTGAGGAGGCACCCACCGCGGGTGCCCTTTCCGGTCTGCCCTCCCCTCCCCGGGCAGGAGACACCAGCCCCTGAGTCTGCGGGCCGGGAGGGACCTAGCAAGTCCAGCGCTCAGCAGTGCTGGTGGGGGCTGGGGGAGACCTGGCACAGGCTGCCCCAGGCGGAGAGGTGGCCCAAGTGCTCAGGGACCCACCTTCTCCCCACGAATGTGGGGCCCCCACTATCCATGGCTGGCTCATAAAGGGCCGGCCCAGGCGTAAGGAACTCCTGACACCTTCCAATTGGCCCCAAGCCCCAGCCTATTACCTATGGCCACGCCTCCCCCAGCTGTTACCTATGGCCACGCCTCCCCTGCTGTTACCTATGGCCACACCTGCCCCCGCTGTTACCTATGGCCACACCTGCCCCAGCTGTTACCTATGGCCACAACTCCCCCTCTGTTACCTATGGCCACACCTGTCCCTGCTGTTACCTATGGCCACATCTGCCCCCGCTGTTACCTATGGCCACACCTCCCCCGGCTGTTACCTATGGCCACATCTGTCCCCGCTGTTACCTATGGCCACACCTCCCCCCGCTGTTACCTATGGCCACAACTCCCCCCGCTGTTACCTATGGCCACACCTCCCCCCGCTGTTACCTATGGCCAGCTGCGGGAGGGTGCAGCCCAGGCGCTCAGCGATGGCCTGCAGCTCCTTCAGCTTGGCCTGCTGGCGCCGGCCCTCCTCACTCAGGATCTTGTCCTTCAGCCACTGGTAGCCCTGGTTGGGGAGGGGAAGAACAGACCACAGGTGAGGGCAGGTCACCTGGACGTGTGTGCAGAGGGCTGAGGACTGAAGCCAGGGTAGGGCCCCTCCTGGCCTTTGGAAGCGTGGGACCACTGCACTTGGAAGCCCGCTGTCTCTGGGGGGCTGAGGGGGGCCCGTGACCCAGGACAGGAGGGGCCCGCTGACCTCCCTTCTCCCAGGAGGCCGGCATCCGGGAGGTGCTGCGGTCTTTGGTCCGGCACTGAGGGGTGCGGTCTCCCTGGCCCCACTCCCTGGGGCGCAGTGCCTTGCAGGGCCCCCTGGCCTTGCAGTGGGTTGGGGAGGAGTGAGTAGGGCAGGCCCTCTGCCTTTGAACCTGGGGCTTGGGGTTCTGGGGCTGGACCTGCCCTGGCCTGGGCAGACCTTTCTCTGCACTCTGGACACCCTCCTGGAGTCCCCTGTCTGGAGGTGTGCGTGCGGGACTCACCTCTGAGTGACAACTGAAGAAGCTGTGCAGCCGGGCCCTGAGCTCAGCCCAGATCAGGTGTGTGCATGTGTGTGCATGGGGGGGTAGCATCCCAAAGGCACATGTGGACCCAGCCCAGGTTGTGAATGTGGAACCAAGGAGGGTGTTGAGGGAGTGCAGGGGAGTGAAGGCACCTCTTCACCAGGGCGTGCCCATGGGGTGGGCAGCTCTTCTGGGCCCGGCTCTGGCCAGCCAGGGCCCCAGGTTCCCACGGCCTGAACCACCTGCGGGCAGGGGCCCAGGGAAGGGTGCCCAGCACCGAGGCTGTCGGCCCGAGGCCTCACCTCTACTAAATGCCCATCCCTGGCCCTCCCCTCCCTGTCCCAACCCCTCCTGACCTTCAAGGAGGCTCTGGAATAGGGCGGGATGCCGCTGTCATACTTTCCAGAAACGATGCCGCAGGCCAGAGGGGACCAGGTCATGGCACCCACTCCTGCAGGAGGAAAGCCAGGAGAGGTCATGCCCTGGGCCCCCAGGTGGGGTGAGGGCGGCGGTGTGTGTGTGTGTGTGTGTGTGTGTGTGTGTGTGTGTGCGCGCGCACACGTGCGTGCGAGCGCGCGCGTGTGTGAAGTGCAGGGCGGTGCAGGGGGGGCGGGGACTGGGGGAGGGCGGTGCACGGGGGCGGGGACTGGGGAGGGGTGCAGGGCGGGGCAGAGGCGGGGACTGGGGGAGGGCGGGGCAGGGGCGGGGACTGGGGAGGGGTGCAGGGCGGGGCAGAGGCGGGGACTGGGGGAGGGCGGGGCAGGGGGGGCGGGGACTGGGGGAGGGGTGCAGGGCGGTGCCGGGGCGGGGACTGGGGGAGGGCGGGGCAGGGCGGTGCAGGGGCGGGGACTGGGGAGGGGTGCAGGGCGGGGCGCCCACCGATCTTGTGGAAGAGCTCCGGCAGCTGCACCTCCACCTTCTCGCGCTGGAACATGTGGTACTCCGCCTGCTCGCAGATGGGCGGGATCAGGTTGAACTGCCGGGCCACCGAGTAGGCTTCCTGAGGGCGCAGAAGGCACGTTGGGCCCTGCCCAGCACCGGGTGCGGGGCCGCCGGGCAGCAGGGAGGACGCACGGGCCTCCCAGGGAAGGACCGCCACCTGCCCCTGCCCCTCCCCCTCTCAGCGATCCTGGGCACCTGTTAGGTCCGGCCCTGCGGTGGGAAAGGGGTGGCTGAAGGGACTGAGGGGCTTGGCTTCTGGCATTCCTGGCCACGTGGCCTGGGGCCGGGCTCACCGCCTGGGCCTCAGTTTCCCCATCTGTCCTGAGGGTCAAATGAGCAGCGGTGTTGGCCGCCCTCGGACAGCGCCTGGCCCAGGGGCACATCAGGGCTGCCTGCCGGGGCTACTGCTTTGGTGGTCACTCCAGGGCCCTGGACCCGGGGGGGTGGCACGGGCAAAAAATGCTCGGTCAGGAGGGTGAGTGGCCGCATCTGCCCATTTCTGGAACTTGGAGCTTAAGGCCTCAACCCCGCAGACCAGACTGTGGTGAGCCAGGGCTGATGTCCGCAGACAGACCCCGGGGAAGCCCTGCGTGCCAGCCTGGGAGACTCAGTTCTCCCGTCTGTGAAATGGGGAGAAGGCGCTGGTGGCTCCAGAGGATGCTGGTGGCTCCTTGGCGCCGAGAGCTCGGTGCCCAGGCCCGAGCAGCTGTCCGCGGGGCTGCAGGCCTCTGCCAAGAGCTTCGCACCTGCTCTCAGGTCCCCCCCAGAACAGCCTCCTGGAGGCCCTCCTCGCAGTCCTGCGCCACAGGGGAGTGAGCCCATCTTAACCCAGGTCAGTCCCACCCCGACCCCGAGCTGAGACCAAGACCCCCCGCAAGGCCGGCAGCCATGACCCCCGCACGTCACAGCACCTGTGCCATTGGACCCACAGCCCGGAACCTGCCGGAGCCCAGGACTGGGACCTCCCTCCGCAGGGCGGGCAGGAGCCCACGCGTGCACGCACCCCGGAGGCCACCGTACCATGATCTCCATGGAGCTCCAGCGCGACGTGCCCCAGTACATGGCCATCCCCTGGTTGATGACGTGGGTCATGGCGCGCACGGTCTCTGTCAGGAGAGAAGGGGGAGCTGCAGGTTGGGGGGTGGCGGGGCCCGGGGCCCAGCGGGGGACATTCTGCAAACACAGGCGCGCCGGGAGCAGGGCAGGGTGCTGCAGAGACGTCTTGCAAGCTCTGTACTTCCTGGCTCCCAGGTCGGGGTGCGGGGATCCGGGGCGACAGAAAAAAGTGGACCTGTTCCAAGCAATTGGTCTTTTTTTTTTTTTTTAAATCCTCACCCAAGGATATTTTTCCATTGATTCTTAGAGAGAGTGGAAGAGAGGGAAAGACAGAAACATCGATGCGAGAGAAACACATCGATTGGTTGCCTCCTGCACGCGCCCTGACCAGGGCCCGGGCTGGGGAGGAGCCTGCAACCAAGGTATGTGCCCTTGACCAGAATCCAACCCGGGACCCTTCTGTCCATAGGTGGACACTCTATCCGCTGAGCCACACCGGCCAGGGCCAAGCAATTGGTCTTGAAAATGACTTCCCCCGGTAGGTACAGGCCTTATGGGGTCTTTGAGAGACGGGTGGTGGGTGGCCTGGGTGCTTCTGTGTCAGGTTAGAAGGGTTGTGGGGGGAGATCGAAGGATGTGATGCCAGTCTCGAGAGGCTCTCTAGTCCCAGGAGGGACCAGGGACCGACCCCCAGGCAGAGCCAGGTAGGGATTAAGGTCACAGCCAGACTGGCAGGAGGCAGCAGAGGGAAACGCAGTGCTGGCCTGTTTCTGGGCGGCTGCTCCGGGCTCTTCCCACTCCCCCTGGGAGCTGCAGAATTGGAGGGCGAAGGGACCGTGGCATCTGCAGGGACAGAGGGCGCAGGGCCCTGGGTGGCCCAGAAGAGCTAGAGGAGACAGGGGCAGCCCATCTGGGCCAGGCCCCCGCTTCGCACGCCAGCCCCCTCCCAGGCTGGAGCGTGTCCCCGGCACAGGGTGGCTTCTGCTCCTGGCGCCATGGGGTCTGGGGGACCCTCCTGGGGAGGCCCGAGGCTGCAGCGAGACGTCAAGGTCTCTACCGAAGACCCGGCGGTGGGAATCCCGTGTCCTAGGACCTCAGCCGCGGAGACCGGCCTTGCCTTTAAACGGGGAGACCCCCCGCCCCCCGCCCCCCCGCCCCGGCTCCTCAGGAGAGGCCCTGGGAGGTGAAACCTGCCGCTCTCCTTCCGGGGCTGCCTCAGCTCGTGGGGATGCTGTCGTTTTGAAACAGAACCCGGCCTCACATTTCTCAGTTCTAACGTCTCAGCGTCGCGGGGGGAGGCCGCTCCCCAGATGCCTCCCAGGCCCCATACAGTGCTTGCAAGTCCGGGCAGCGTGGGAAGTGGAGCCGACAAACAGTGTTTCTAAAACCGAGCGAGACACGGGCCACTGGCCGAGGGCCCCTTTCAGGAGAAGGCGGCGGTGGCTGGGCTCCTGGGGTGGCCGTCTCCGTGGGCGTGGAGACCCCCTCAAAACTCACACCGGGGCGTCCACACCTGCAGGCCGAGCCCCGTCCTCCCTCCCGTCCCAGGGAGGGGAGCTGGCTGGCGGGGAGCCCGGACCCCCATGGGCCGCCCTTTTGCTGACACCGGTCGATGTGGAGAACAACAGTGTCGGTTGGAGGGGCTTGAGGGTCCCACACCCGCGCCCTGAGCCCCGTGCCGGCCTGGCGCCCCGTCGGGCTCTTTAGAAACACTCTCGGGGGACCTGCAGCCATGCAGCGCGAGCGCCCCTTCCTCTCAGCCACGGCGCAGGCCCACATGCTGCAGAGGAAGCCCAGGCGCCCCGTCCCAGCCTGGCTCCCGGCCGCTCCCTCCTGACGAGGGGCCGCGCGATGCAGGGCCCTTCCATGCAGAGGGCAGGCCGCCGAGCCTGCGGTCACGGCCACGCGGTAGCCCCAGAGACCGGGGCGGCCCTGACGGCGGGTGCCCTGGGCCCAGGCTGCTGGGTTCCCGGAGGGTCCCAGGCGGTGGCAGGCGGGCATGGAGCCCACACCCGGGACCATGGTGCTCTCACACGGACCATGGCGCTCTGCCCTCTGCCCAAGAGTGATGTCAGTGCCCCAGACACAGGGACAGCGAGGGGCCTGTCCTGCGCCTCAATATTTAATGCTGCCGAACAAATCCTTGCAGCTGCTGCCAAGACCCCTGGCATCTCCTGCCGTGTCACAAATAATACATGGGAGGGGTCAGGTGGCAGTGCCAGTTGGCAGGCAGGAGCCCTGCCACCGTGGAACTCAGCCCAGGTCCCCGGGAGGCTGTGGCCTGCCGTGGTGTGGGGTCCTGGGACCAGAGGCTGCCCGGGTCTCGAGTTTCCCAGCTCATGAGGGGGTTCTTCCAGGGGGACAATGTTCCATTCCAGTGCGGAGTCAGGCCACACAGGAAGGGGTAAGTGGCAGGTGGCCAGCCCTCCCAGGGATACGAGCACCATGCCCGCCAGGATGCTCACGGAGGAGCCAGGCGCTGTGGGCGCAGCTCGCATGGGGTTCATGGCTTCTGGTTGGGGCAGGAGCTTAGCAAACATGAATTACGGAAAAGAGAAGACGTGTGGGGGCCACACACTCTGGGATCCCCGATGTGTTTGTTCCGGTGGGAATCTGGCCTCCCCCAGCCCTGCCCCGGCCCACCCAGCGCCAAGGTTTTAGGCCCTGATCGCAGCATCACCCGCTCAGGCGGGGCCCGCGGCCGCCCCAGGACCTCAGCAGCGCCAGGCGGGGGGCGGGGCATGCACAGAGGGCGGGAGAATGAAGGACAGCGGCCGGTGGGTGTCGGGCACTGAGTTTCCCTTATGCATTTTATGGAGGAGTTTGTCCTGGGGGAGAGAGTCGTGTAAATAAAACCACTGCCTCATAAAATGCAGCTCAGACACAGGTCAATGGCCGGCGAGGGTACTGGGTACCTTCTATGATGAATGTCCTGGACTTGGAGGAACTAAATGGGTCCCCTGGTGATAAAAGAAAGATTTAGAGACCAGAGTCGACAGCTGTGGGAACACGGGAGGCGCGGAATGACAGAGGGCGCGGGAGGGAGGCACAAATCACTTCCGCAGAATTCGCGTTATAAACCCCACGCGTGCAGACACGGTGTACATATATACACACATATGTCAACAAATGAAGGAAAAATAACTGAACACGACCTAACGTTCCAAGTCCCCGAAGCAGGAAAGCACATGAGAGCAGTCTGAAGCGGGAGGCTGAGGGAGGTGGGAGGGGTGGCCGCGGGAGGCGAGAGAATAATTAAGCGCCTAAGAAACTAAAACCGCTCTGCGAAGCCTGCATGTCTTTTCTCCTCGAAGGAGCCGAGCGCAAGAGGGAGGCCTCAGGGAAGGTGATGGAAAGGAGGAGCAGTTGCAACGAGCCGTCATCTTGTGACCCCACTGAGCTGCAAACTCTTAACAGCCGGGAGGGGAGAGCGTGCCACAGCCCCAAACCCCGGACGGGGACCCGGTGGATCAGGCATGGACCCAGGTGTGCCCGGTGCCCCCGGCTGGGGGGTGGGGGGAGTCTGGGGCTGAGATCAGGCCTCCCTGCCCGCTCTCTCCACCCCAAAGGCCTGGCGTCCCCTCCCCGCTGGCCTGGGTGCCCGGGGGCCTGTGCCGAGGCCCTCAAGCCTCAGGGTAGGACCTCCGGGCCAGCCGACGGAGAACCCACCTTCCATGGGTGTGTTAGGGTCCGGGCGGTTGGCAAACACCACGTCCACATACTCGAGCTGCAGCCGCTCCAGGGAGGCCTTCAGACCTGGGAGGAGTGGGAGGGAGGGTCACCGTCGTCACAGATTGCCGGGGCCGCCGCCCGAGCCAGAGGTGGAAGGGAGAGGCGGGCAGTTGGGGGCCGTGGAGGCCAGGGGAGGAGGCCAATGTCCTGCGCTGGGATGTGGGGGGACCGTCCCGGGTCTCCCGTGGCCCGTGGGGTGACAGGGAGGGAGGGGCAGCACGTGTGGCGCCCACCGCACCCAAGGTCGAGGGCGTCTGAGGCGCACCAGTCGTGACCCTGCACCCGGCGGGGTCAGAGCAGAGCTGGAGTGGGTGCTGGGCTGGGGCAGCGGTGGCCAGGCCCCCCAGTCATCTGTTAGTGGATGAACATGAGGAGGACAGAAAAGGCAGGAGACACGGAAAATGCAGTGGAAGAGGGTGGCGCTGGCTGACCCGGCCCTGTGCTCCGGGCGCTGAGCCCCTCGGGCGGGTCTGACATCCACCCTTGTCTGGGTGCTCCCCATTCCCGGGGCCCCCAGGGGCGGTGCTCTCCCTGAGCCGCGTCAGAGGCCTGGGGAAGTGACTCCCGATCAGCACTGAATGGAAAGCCAGGCCTGTCTTTGTCCTGCCCAGAGGCCACACCGTCCCTCCCAGGGCGACACAGGCCCCACCCTGCCCACACCCCTGCCCTCCCTCAGGACACGGAGGAGCGGGTGTCCCCAGGCCCGAGGCTGTGCTTATGGGGAGGGGTGGGTGTGCACCCTCCGTTTTGCACCCAGGGAGGACCCTGGGCTCAGGGCCCCTCACCTTCTATGATGTGCTTCCGGGAGAGGCCCCTCTCGGTCTCCGCTCTGAAAAACAGGCCCATAGTGCGTGAGGGTGACGGCGGTTTGGGGTGTTGATGATGCAAATGTTGGGCAAAAAGGTAGGTCAGCAGGCGTCACTTCGGGGTGGAAACCAGGAGGCCAGCGGGGCGCTCCCCCAGGCGTGGCGGGGGTGTGGGGGGAGGGGGACCCAGGCTGCTCCTGGCTGTCCTGGGGAGGGGGTGGCCGTGGGGAGGGGGGTTCCTGTTTTTCAATCTGTTCTTCTGCTTGGCGTGGATTTTTTTAAAGATTAAGAATGAACCATATCCCAGTCAGGGCACATGTCCGGGTTGCAGGCTCGATCCCCAGTGGGGAGCGTGCAGGAGGCAGCCGATCAATGATTCTCTCCCATCACTGATGTTTCTCTCTCTCTCTCCCTCTCCCTTCCTCTCTGAAATCAATAAACGTGTATTTTAAAGACTGAACCACATTTGTAATTGCCAGCCCCCGAGAGAGAATACGGGAGACTCCCGGAGGCCGGGAGGGGTGCTAAGGCCCAGGAAAGGTTGGGGTTTGGTCAGTTCACCAATTGTCTGTTTCCCAGGATTTTTAGAACGCTACCTTGGTGATCAGAAAAAAAGAACAAATCCACGAGTGTGAACATAAAAACTAAACAAGGTTTGAATAAAAGACAGACTCGGCTGAAGCCGCTTTTCGGGAACTTGACCTCCCTTCATAGGGAAGGGCGCCAGGGCAGACGGTGGCACCAAAGCCAGGCCTCCCATATCGGCACCAGGGGACAGGGAGCGGCAAGGGCCTGGCTTCTGCCCTCCCCCCGCCTCCCAGGAGCCTCCTCAGCCAGGGGAGTGGGCTGGGCTCCGGGCTGGGGCCACTGGACCTGCCGCGGGAGCGTCACCTACTTTCCTCCCCAGAAGATCTTGGTGGTGATGACCAGGCTGGACCGTCTGTGGACAGAGCAGGAGGAGGGGTGTTACTGCACGTGGTTCTGTGGGGGTCCTCCCACCCTTCTCACCGGGGAGCGCTGGGTGAAATAGGGTGCCTGTCATTCAGTGTCCTCCCTGCGTCGAGCCTGGACCCTGGGCTCCGTGTGGCGTCAGGAGACAACCCATGGGTGTAACTAACTAACCACGTGGGTGCAGCTTCCCACCATGGACCCACAGGGCGGGTATGGGGCCCAAGGGAGACGGCCCAGAGGAGGGGCACGTCTGGTAGAGGGGTCTCGGGAGAATGCAGGGGGGACACAGCTCAGGGGATGGGAGCAGGTTGAAGGAGGGGTGGGGCCGGGGCCACGGGAGGCTCAGGGGCCAAGGGCGGCAGGAGCCGAGGATGAAGGACAGGGGGGCAAGCTTCCCGCTGACACTGTCAGAAGAGCTGTGGGGATGGTGGCGGGGGGGGGGGGGCATTGAGGGAGGGGAGGCTGGGGTGTGAGGGGGGCTCGGGGATGCCGGCTGGGGTGCTGAGAGCCCAGGGGTGGGGCATGGGAAGGACGTTGTTTTCCTGCTTTAAGTCTATGTGAACCAAACGGGGCCCCGTGCCTGTCCTGAGGGGCAGGTGAGGGTGAGTGACCCTAAGGCTGTGCCCTCCCCCACGGCCGCTCGGGACACAGGTCCTCGAAGCCACAAGCGCGGGCACAGCTTCCCCCGCGGGCGGGGGGTGACCCCGGTGCTCCTGTCTCCACCTAGACATCATCGGGGACTTGCAACCGCGGGCGACCTCCTTTCACTAGGGACCCAGAAGGGACTTGGGGATCAATTAGAGCCACAAGGACACACTTTGGGGGGGAAAGAGGAGGGGCGTCAGCTGTGTGTGTCGGGCCGGGAGGGAGGCCCAGCTTTACCGCAGCTTCTGGAATTCCTGGAAACAAAGCCGCTGGGGCCACCGGCTGTGTCTGCCCTGATGAAGCTGGGGCTACGGCTGGGGTTCCTGACCTGCCCCCGGGGCCCAGCTCAGAGGGGGGTGCGGGTCCTGACCTGCCCCCCCGGGGCCCAGCTCAGAGGGGGTGCGGGTCCTGACCTGCCCCCCGGGGCCCAGCTCAGAGGGAGTGCGGGTCCTGACCTGCCCCCCGGGGCCCAGCTCAGAGGGGGTGCGGGTCCTGACCTGCCCCCGGGGCCCAGCTCAGAGGGGGTGCGGGTCCTGAGGTGAAGGCGGTCTTAGGAGCCACCGCTTCCCGGGGGAGTGGGGTGTGAAGGCCTGGCCCCGGCTGGGTGGTGTCTGAGCCTCAGGACAGCCCGACCAGGAGGTGGGACAGCGGTCCCTGTCCAGGGGACTGACCCCTCTCCTCTCGGCACCACCCCTGCGGCACCCAGGGTTGCAAGTTCCCATGGCAGCTCTGCTTGGCCTCACCCAGTCAGCCTTGCCCCCGGGACCCTGGCCCTCTGAACCGCGCGTCAGGGGGAGGGGCAGATGGGGGGTGTGGGCCCCCGCTGGCTCCCTCTCCAGCAGAGACGCCACCTGGGAGAACGGAATTGGCACCCCCCCTCGCCACAGCCCCTGGCTCCTGGGGGCGGCCACCCCCAGTGAACCTCACTCCCGGAGAAAGCTCTGGGCTGCCTCATTCCGGGACAGCCTTCCCTTCCCCATGAGAGAGATTCTGGGGCTTGCAGGTCTTAGAAAGACGGCGAGGAGACCACCCCGGGCACGCCCCTGGTGACAGGACGGGACCGCGGGGACCAGGCCACGCTCGCCTGGGGAGGCCTGCCCACCCAATCCCAGCCCAGAGCGCGCCTGCCTCTCACGGAACCCCCTCCCCTCCCCCGCTCCCCCAGGCTCTCCCCCCGCCCCCCCGTGTGGGCCCTGGACACAGACCACAGGGAGAGCAGGCACTACCTCCATCCCTTCTTCTTAATGATGTTCCCGAGAACCACCTCAGCCCTGCAAGAAAGGCCAGACACGGAGATGTCATTACAGCCACAGAAGCGCCTACCCGCCCATGGACAGCGGCCACCTGGTCCCCGAGGGAGAGGTCATGGGGCCAGGAGCCAGCCGGCCCCCGAGGCTCGGGCAGCTCATCCAGGGACAGGCGTGGCTGCTGTGCCCCCACAAAGGGGTGTGGCACGTGTCCCTACGCCTGGTCTGGGCCGCAGCGCTCTGGCCCATAGGCAAGGCCGGCGGCACCCGTGCCCGGGCCACGGGAAATTCACAGGGAAGACACTCGCCACAGGACGTGGGTGAAGCTTCCAGACAGGAAGGTTTTTGTGTGTTTGTTAATCCTCATTCGAGGGCATTTTTCCTGTTGATTTTGAGAGTGGAAGGAGGGAGGGAGGGAGGGAGAGAAGGAGGGAGAGAAAGGGAAGAGAGGAAGAGACACATCCACTAGTTGCCCCAACCAGGCCGGGGATGGACCTGCAACCCAGGTACGTGCCCTGGACTGGGAATCGAACCCAAGACCCTTCGGGGTGTGGGTGGACACTCTAACCACTGAGACATAGCGGCCAGGGCCAGACAAGCATGTTTCTAAAAGTTAAATTATTCATCTTGTTTTCAGAGACAACCGACTGGGACTCAGGGCCAGGGCGGGGTTTAGACAGAGCGCTTGCAGGCGTGCGTGCGTGTGCGTGTGCGTGTGCATGTGTGTGCGTGTGCTCCTCTGGTCTCCTGTGTTCGGATGAGAGACAGTGGCCTTGCTGGCCCCTGTCCGCTCTGTTGGGCGTCCCTCGGGGCCCTGCACCAAACTCGGGCGGCGGCCTCATGGGCACTGTTCCGGCCCGCGTGGCGCTGCAGCGATGGACTCCTGCCTTTGGTTTTGACTTTTAAGGGCGTTTTGCTTGCAGCAAAGTGTTCCTGAGTGAGAGCCGCCAGGGGAGGCTGAGCCGTGCGCAGCGCTCCCTTCAATAGAAGGCTGAGTCACGCACTCAGGAGTAATGGCTCTCGCTGGCAAGCTGCTTGGCAGAGTCTGAGAGCTCTCCGCTCGCGGTCAGGATGCTCAGAAAGGCACTCAGCCCGGCCTCCTCCTCAGCCCTGGGTCCCTCACTTGTGGGACGAAGGTCAGGAAAGGACGGAGAGAGAAAAGCAGCCGTGGGCCTGGCTCACAGGCACTGTAGACAGAGTTAGCCAAAGCCTGTAGCCCGTGGCCATGAACTTGGTAAGGCTGGTGCCATCCTAGAAGCCCTGCAGCTCTGGGAAGCGCCCAAATTAGCATCGGCATGGGGGGGGGGGGGGACTCAGCAAGCTACACGACTGGCACTTGGTTAGCGAGAGGGACAGCGCCGGGCCCCTGCCCGCTGTTGCCGCCTGGCAGCCCCGGGCCCCGGGCAGCTCCTCTCTGCCTGTCCTTTGGCGCAGCGCCCTGTCCCTATGTGGGTGGCTGTGGGCACCGAGGCCCTGATGGGGGTGAGTGGGCAGGTTCAGAGGCTGGGGGAGTGGAGGGCAGGGCGGGGGTGGTGGCTCCGGGGGCAGCGACAAGCCCCGGAAGCGCTCCCCGAGTCCTTGGCTTCTACATGGGCTTCCAGGAGGCCCCGCGGCTGCCGGGACCCAGTGTGCTCGTCCCGAGCTGCCCAGCCTGGGTGTCCCCTAACCGGGGAAGTGAGACTGACGCAGTGTGGCTGCCGTGAACTGTGTGCACCGGCTGGGCCCCAGGAGCCCTCGTGCAGGGCCGGGTGCAGGCCGGGGCGCTCAGAGCCCGGTGGGGCTGTGGGGTGGCTTCCGCATTGGGCCTCCCCACCTCTGACCTTCAGGGAGCTCATTGGTCTGGAAAGCGTTTCACTGTGATGGGCAGCGGCTGCCCATTTGGAGGGGCTGGGAGGGGCAGTGAGCTGCTGACGGGGGTTGGGGGAGGTTGGGGGGTCCCAGTGGAGGCCTCCAGGGCTGTGAGATCCAGACCCTGGGCCAGGACTTGAGTCGAGGCCCCGTGGCTTTGGCGCTGGGACAGGCTGTGGAGACTCCCCGAGCCCCGCTGCAGGTGCAGGCCCGGAGGTGCCCCGGCCCTGGCTGACGGCATGCGGCTTGTGCAGGCGGGAGGGGCGGAGGGAGGGGAAAGAGCCAGCAGATGACTTCACAAGCAAAGCTGCCTTTGGAGCCCGAGGCAGGAGAGCGGATGATTTGATTACAGCCGGTCCTAAGCCCAGGCCAGCGGCCTTGGCCGAGCAGCGCTTTTACATAATTGAGTAGCAAGTCCATTGCCAGGACGGGAGTGCCTCCTGCAGCGAGGGGCTGGCCAGCTCCTGCGCCAGCCCCAGACCTGCTTCTGCGGCCCTTGCTGCGCCATTAGGAGGTGAAGATGTCAGGAGGGTGGGGGGCCGCGGGCACGGCGGGAGAGCCGGTGACAGCTTCATCTCGGCCCTCGCCGGGCATCGCGGCGTTGGCACCAGAGGGCTGAGGTGGCCGTGGTGTGTGAGCACATGGGGAGTTTAGCAAGTGACCAGTGTCCAAGGCCCAGGAGAACAACTCGCCCTGGAGCCATTTAGAGCTTAGAAAGCGGGCAGAGGGGGAGGCGCATGCAGGGCCCCTAGGGACGAGGGTCACGGGAAAAGGCGCTCCCGGGGGACCCGTGGCCACACCCCTCTTTCCCACGAGGAGAGACACGTACTTGCCCGCCGCGTAGACCTCTGCCGTGTCAAAGAGGTTGATGCCGTTGTCGTAGGCCAAGGTCATGAGCTGCTCCGCCATCTGAAATGAGAAGCGGGGGCTGCTGGCAGGCGCTCTGTCCTGCCAGCCGGGGGTGCCCCGAGGCCCGGGGCTGCCCAGAGGCCCAGGTCCCACACTGGGTAACCCTAACGATAGGACTCTGCACCCCTGGGCATGTGCCTGCCTTCAGACACGGGCTTAGCAAGGAACACGGAGTTGCAGGCGGGCCGCTCAGCAGAAACGCCCAGTGGTCTGGCCGCCCCAGCAGTGCCCGCCTCCCTCCATAGCCCAGGCGGGTCCCTGCTTCCTGGTGGCACCAGCCCTGCTGGCTCAGACCCAGCAGACGGCCGGCTGGAGACTAAATCCCCGGCATCTTCATCGGAACGCGGGGGGGAGGGGGGGCCCTTGGACTCGACATGTTTTTTTGGACACAAACGGGAAGATTTAGAAGCGCTGCTCGCTCCTACACGCAGTCGTGTCGTCTGCCAGGACCTCCTGGGGCCCTGAATCTGTCACCTGTTGTGTCCGCTGTCCTCCCAGCTTCCCGTCACCTGGAAAGGACTCCCAGTGTCGTCGAACGTCACTATGTCCCCGATGAAGATGTGGCGGGGGCAGCGGGCTGCCACTGGGACGTTAATGGAGACCTATTGGCTGGTCACCACCCCCAGGTCTCTCTCTTTCCCACGGGGACATCGCGGGCAGCGCAGCCAGTGCCGTGGGAATGAAGTCGCCCCGCCTGCGAGTTTCGTGCCACAGTGGCAGGGAAAGAGGCGAGGCAGGCGCGACCTGTTCCCGTGAACCACGTGGGCTCGGGGCTCCCGCTTCTAGTCTAAGCGCTCAGGCCAGGTTGGTGGCCGGAGAAAAGAGTTCCTTGTGCCTTAAACACTCCCACCTTCACCCCCGCCCCCCACCCCCCCGCGACTGCCCAGACCCTATAAGCAAGTGCAAAGAATGATCAAACCTGCTGCTGTCGCAACAAGACAAAGGAACAAAAACACCAATGGAACCCAGCCGGCGTGGCTCAGTGGCTGAGCGTCAATCTATGAACCAGGAGGTCATGGGTTCGATTCCCGGTCAGGGCACAGGCCGGGGTTGCTGGCTCGATCCCCAGCAGGGGGCGTGCAGGAGGCAGCCGATCCATGATTCCTCTCATCACTGATGCTTCTCTCTCTCCCTTCCTCTCTAAATTAATAAAAATACATTTAAAAACACACACGAAGCACACGCATCAGGATTTTGACGGAAGCAAAGCCTTTCCTGCGAAGACGAAGCCGCGACGACAGCAACAAGGTCGCAGGCAAAGTCACTAGTAATTTTTAAATGCGACCTTTCCCACGGTGGGTAAGGCAAATGGGAAGGTGACTCTCCCGCAGCGGCCGGAGCTCCGAGCAAAGGCCACTGTCCTCACTTCCCAGACACCCCCTCACTGCCTGGGCTGGGGGGGTGGGGCGCATGGTGGCCTGGGGACGCACTGTCCCCTCCGCACGGACCCGGAGACACTGCTCAGCCCTCATCTTGCAGCAGAACTATGGGGACCTACGGTCAGTGGCCTCAGCAGGCTGTGCTGAGGTTTCGCACTCTCGCGGGCTCTGCAGGGGCAGCTGGGAGCTGCACTGGCCCGAGCTGGGAAAGCCTGCCTCTGGTTTTCCTGGTGCGCTGCAGGGAGGACGCTGCAGGGAAGACGCTGCAGGGAGGACGCTGCAGGGAAGACGCTGCAGGGAGGACGCGGGATTTCAGGGATGCTACGGGACGGGCTGAGCCCCTGGGCACCCGGCTGCTATATGGTGCCACCGCTGCGGTTCACCTTCCCGCCGGGCGCAGGAGAAACCGAGGGAAGCTGTGGCAGCTGCTGGGGGTGCGGCCTCACTGGGCGTTTAGCAGGCGTCACCGCCTGCCTCGGGGGCTGCCCTCGCTGGGGCCTGGCAGGACGAGGGGCCTGTCTCACCTCGTCGGTGATCTGGCCTCCGAAGGTCACCCATGTTCCTGGAAGGAGACACACAGGGTCGGGTCAGAGAGCCTCCGGGGAAGTTGGTTCTCCCTCCCGGGTGCTGGGGCCTCAGGCTGCGGGGCCCAGGGGGCGGCCATGGCCACTGCGCCACCCTGCCCTGTGGTGAGCGTGTCCTTGGTGTGTGTGGACACCTGAGCTTCAACGGAGAGGACAGACAGCGGCTGTGGGGCTCTGACACGCTCCTGGGCTCAAGCTGAAGTGGCTGCTGTTCCAGGGACGGGGTGCCGGGGGCAGGCCAGGGAGCAGGTCCTCACTCCTGCTGCCCGGAGTGTGTGTGTGTGTGTGTGTTGGGGCGCACAGTGTGTGCACCATGGAGGTGGAGGGACAGTGTGGCCCGGGAACAGAGCTCACAGCTTGGGAAAGGAAAAGGCTGTCTCTCCATCCCCTGTTCTCTCCTAGGCACCCCTGTTACCATGGTAACAGGCACACACCCATCCTGGCTCTGGGGGCAGCTCCTACCCCTGGGGGTGGTCCCCCTCAGCCCTCCCACAGCCCCTGCTTCCCTAGTGGCTCTGGATCGAGGGTCCCCGCACTCACCCAGCCCCAGGCAGGAGACCCGCAGGCCCGACTTGCCCAGGTTCCTGAAAAACAAACGCTTGTCAGTTCTCAGCAGATCTGACAGGACCCGCTGGCCAGGCCCAGCTCCACCATTCCCAGGGGCTCCCCTAGCCCCCACCTTTCCCACTGCAGCTCCCCCAGCCCCCACCTTTCCCACTGCAGCTCCCCAGCCCCCACCGTTCCCACTGCAGCTCCCCCAGCCCCCACCGTTCCCACTGCAGCTCCCCAGCCCCCACCGTTCCCACTGCAGCTCCCCAGCCCCCACCGTTCCCACTGCAGCTCCCCCAGCCCCCACTGTTCCTACTGCAGCTCCCCAGCCCCCACCGTTCCCACTGCAGCTCCCCCGCCCCCACCTTTCCCACTGCAGCTCCCCCGCCCCCACCTTTCCCACTGCAGCTCCCCCAGCCCCACCTTTCTGTGGAGAGCAGCTACAGGGTTTGGACAGGTTTAAGCCTCGGACTAATGAGGGGGCAGGTCCTCTCGTGGCAAAGCCACGTGCAAGTCCCAGCTTGGAGGGCAAAGCCTCCCAGCACAATTATAGCCAAAGGCTGTGGCTGTGAGCCTGACCTTATGGTCCGAACCTGTGGGCCCACGTGGCTGAGTGATATGGGCTGCAGGAGGTGCAGCCAGTGCTGCCAAAACAAAGCTTGATAGAGTTCAGGTGCAGGTAACTGAGTAAATTCGAAACCCGCGAGAACATTGTAAACATCTTGACCCGCCCTGACTTTGCCTCGTGGAATCTGCTATAAAATAAAGACTCGGCTCGCAGGCCGTGGCCTGTCTCTCCGTCCGAGAGCAGCGTCCCACCCGGCCCCAGCTTTATCCTCATCTGTCTTCTTTAATCCAGTGCAGCTCCCCCAGCTCCTGCTATTCTAAGAGCCGGCTCCCTGACTCCTCCCCCACCCCCCCCCTCCCCAGCCAACGCTGTTGGAGGCTCTGAAGCCAAGGGGGACCTTCAGAGAGAGGCCAGCTGCTGGCTGCCGCAGGGTAACGGGCCACTGTCGCTGCCCCACGTGCACATTGGGCTCAGCATGGGCTGGGACAGGCCATGCTGGTGACCAGGCAGGGCCGCCTCAGAGGGAAAATGGAACCGTTGACTCGTTTCCCGGCTGAAACGAGATGGACTCGGCCTGCGGTACCGGCCGCGGGTCCTCCCCGGAACGCCCTCCTTCCCCTTCGTTAGTGTCACGCCCGAGTCCTGGGCCACGCCCCTGAGCAACAGGAGTGGGGGCTCCACGGTGGGTGCCGGTTCCTGCTGGGCTGAGCCCCAGCCTCTGTGTGACCCCCTAGGTAGCCGGCTCCAGAATACGCCCCCCCCACTTACTGGGGACACAGGATGTGAGCTGCCCAGATGGTGAGTTGAGAAGCGCAGGGTGTTGACCCCACAGCTGGGCCCTGACCCTCTGGTGTTGACTCCACTTCCTGGTGGGATCCTGATGCCAGGAGCCTGGTCCTGGGACCAGCCCTGGTGCGACCCCCTCCAGGCGGCAGGAAGTCGGAGAAATGCCGGAGGCGCCGGCTGCGAGCCCCGGCCTCCTTCCCCGAGGGCTACCCCACTTCTAACTTCAGTGGGTGCTGTGTCCTCAGTTTCTCTCCAGGCCTGAGCCTGCCCTGCCCATCTCTGACAGGGTCCACCGACCCTCCGCAGCCTCGGTTTCCCTGGTTACAAGGCCTGGGCCCCACCCGCTTCGCAGGCAGTCAGTGGTGAGGTGTGGATCCCATAACTCGTAAGCAGTTTGCAAACAGTCTAAGGTGCCACCAAACGTAAGGCACCCCGAAATCGCCAGCTTTCTTGTCAGGTTCCCCACTAAACCGGCTCTGCTGCCGCGGCTGCTCCCACGGAGCTGGGACGTGCCCCGCGTGAGGACGCAGTGGCGCTGGCTTCCCTGTGGGGAGGCGGGCACGTCGGGAAGAGGCTCCGCAGCCGGCGCTCAAATCCTGGCCCCACCTTCATGGCCGAGCGGCCTGGGCCCGACGCCTCTGCCTGCGCATCTGCAGGCTGGGCTTGCCACGCGCCGGCACATGTGCCGGGCACAGCGCACAGGACACAGGCTGGGCTCACCACGCGCCTCCCACGGGGCGGCCAGGAGCCCCGAGCTGGCACATGTGCTGGACACAGTGCACAGGACACAGGCTGGGCTCGCCACGCGCCTCCCACGGGGCGGCCAGGAGCCCCGAGCTGGCACATGTGCCGGACACAGCGCACAGGACACAGGCTGGGCTCGCCACGCGCCTCCCACGGGGCGGCCAGGAGCCCCGAGCTGGCACATGTGCCGGACACAGTGCACAGGACACAGGCTGGGCTCGCCACGCGCCTCCCACGGGGCGGCCAGGAGCCCCGAGCTGGCACATGTGCCGGACACAGCGCACAGGACACAGGCTGGGCTCGCCACGCGCCTCCCACGGGGTGGCCAGGAGGAGGCCCCGAACTGGCACATGTGCCGGGCACAGCGCACAGGACGCTGACTCTGCACGTGCTGTTTCACGACAGACAGCACGGAGCGCGGACGGCGGCCTCCTTCCTCACACGGACAAATCAAATGGGCTTCTCATTGCAGGTGCTCAAAGGGGATGGAAGCCGCCCTTGTTTTCTCCTGTGAATCGTGATGTAACCCAAGGGCGCCTCAGCACCGCGCGTAAGTGCCAACCCCGAGCAACCTGCCCTGTGGCTGCTGCACAGAGGCTCGCCCTCCCCCCGGCACTCGGCCCAGCCAGGTGTGCTCCGAGCTGCGGTCACATTCCCTGCACGAGCTGGAAAGCACACGTGGCGAGAAGTTAGACCCTGGCTCGGAAGCTGTCTGGTAACAAAACAAAAAGAACCGAAGGCTCTGATCAGTGGTTCTTACCAGTTCTGGGGGCACAGATCCCTTGAGAAAGCCCTTCCCGGACACGGGCACGTACATGGGCACCTCAGAACCCCGTCTGCGATGCCCAGGTGTTCACAGAGCCGGGCACCTGGTCGAGGTAAGTCAGGTGCTGGAGGGGGACCCAGGCCGTGCTCCGTCTTCAGGGAAGGACCCAGAACACGGGCCGCGCCCACCTTTTTCTGTGGCTGCGACGGCGCGGCTTCTCGCCCACCGGATGGGCTGCGCTTCCTCCCGCGCCAGGGCAGCCTCCCGGGCGCATGGCTCTCCAGCTGCCCTCCGCCCCCCGCCCACAGGAATAATTTAGCAAAAGTAGGACGCCACGTGATGCCACGGTTACCCCGCTCACGGCGTTTCCCAGTTCAAATGACGGTATTAGCTCTGCCATCCGCTGCCAGGCCTCCGAGAAGAAACGAGAAGGGACAGGGCATCTCCGGGCTAAAAGCTGCTTAAATCCGCTGCCCCGTGGGGGTGGGGCTCTCCACAAACCACAACGTCGTCTGGGCCATGGCTGGTGACATGCTGCCACTCGGAACTTTCAAGACGCAAAGGCCATTTCCTACAGACTTTCCCCCCCTGGTAACTTGACCCAACAATAAAACACTTGGCTAAGCCCGGCCGGTGCAGCTCAGTGGTTGAGCATCGACCTGTGAACCAGGAGGTCAGGACTGGATTCCCGGGCAGGGCACGTGCTCTGGTTGCGGATTTGATTCCCAGCAGGGGGCGTGCAGGAGGCAGCCAATCGATGTTGATGTTTCTCTCATCGATGTTTTTATCTCCTCCCTTCCTCTCTTTTTAAAATCAATAAAAACATGTTTTAAATAGTTTGCTAAATCTCTAAGCCCAAATAACGCCCGTCTCCGTTAATATGGCTCATTCTCTCCTGTGGTCTGGGAAAACGCTGCTGAGGCTCTCGGATTTAACCTTCGCCAAGAAAGGCCAGCGCTGAGGTCACGTGGCCATCAGATGCCGGGAACCACTGAACGCTGCGCCCAGGTTCTGGGCAATGACAGACGCTTTAAAAATAGTCCAGGCCCTTCCCTTCGGCCACCTGGGCGGAGGACCAACGCGTGGTCCGTGGAAGCAGCATGGCTTTGATGAGCTGGTTTGATGGAGAAGGGACCAGGACGTTTTCCGGTCAGTGCGGGTGACTGCCTGTCAGCAGGTCTGCCTGCTCGCAGACTCCCGGCTCCCTAAGGTGGGCCTGGCAGGGGCAGGGCCCCAGCAGGTAACTCGGGGTGAGAGCGAAGGCCCGGGCAGACTCAGGACCTAGTGGCTGCTCCCCTGACGCCGGACTTGACTGTTGGTTTGCACTGAGCGCTGGGCCCTCTGGCAGGCCCCTGGCCCCCGTGCTGGCCACCCTTTCGTTCCCTCACAGAGACAGGGGTGGCTGGAGGCCTGGCCCTGATCACACCCCTGGCGAGGGCCAGCTTCCTGAGGATGGTCAGGGTGGGGGCAGAGTGGGATCCAGCATCCTGCAGCCCCCCGTCCCCTGGCTGTGGCCCTCGGACGGTCATTATGGAGCAACCCCAGGGGGCAGGTGGTCGTGAGGCAGGAACCCTGTGGGGCAGGTTCCCCGTGAGGCAGGAACCCCATGCTCAGCAAGGGCGCCCGTGGTTTGAGCTCTGACTTCCATTTTGGCGGCGATGAAACACCCCACAGAGGAGGAACCCACCTCCCCCTCCTGCACCCCAAGGGCAGCTCTCCCGCCGGCCACACGTAAGGACAGATGGGGTCCTGGGTTAGGAAGTAGTGGAGCTGGGATCTGAGCCCAGGTCCTCAGACTGCAACGGCCCAGCCCAACGAGCATCTCTCTCCCTTTACTGCCTCACCGTCCTGCCCCCACAGGTGTCACACATGCACACGTGCCCACGGATGCACACACAGGTGCACCCAGGTGCACACGTGCACACACAGGAGCCCAAAGGTGCACACAGAGATGCACACACAGGTGGGCACACAGGCGCACACACAGGAGCGCATACACAGAAGCACATGTGCACACACAGGTGCATATACAAGTGCACACAGTTGCACACACAGGAGCACACAGGTGCACACACAGGTGCACACAGTCATCTTGAGCACTCAGGCTCTGAGATCTGGTCCTCAGTGATTGAGGCTCTCAGGAGGGAAATTGTGTTGATGGCCACTCCTTC